CTGCTTCCATTGGTTGGAGGCTGTGGTGGTATTTAAGTATTTTGATTACTATACAATGTGTGCCAAATGCCTTACTACCTTACAGTAGGCTGAATAATGGCCCCCCCAAAGATATCAGGTCCCAACCCCTGGAACTTGTAAATCTACACTGCAAGAAAATGGGGCCTTGCAGATGTGATTAAGAATCTTAAAATGAGGGGCTGGGGATATAGCTCAGTGGCATAGCACCTTCCTGGCAAGCACAGGGTCCTGAGTTCAATTCCCAGTACCAACAAAAGACTCCCCCCCACCCCCTTACTGGGGATCAAACTCAATAATTATGTTTTACAGACTCCTATCTCAAAGCTATCCCTGCTTTAGGTTACCCCACCCCTCTTGTCTATAGCCAGGGCAGTTTAAATGTAAACAATTTATGATCTCCTTCCTCAAAAATTTTTTGGAACAGTGTCTCATTGTGTAGTTCAGGCTGGCCTTGAAATCATTCTAGCGACCTTGCACTTGCCCCGCAGGCGCTGTGCCGCTGAGCTAAATCCCCAGCCCACAAAAGACTCTTAAAATGGGGAGATTATCCTTGTTAAACCAAAACTCTTGGGACTATGCAATCTCAAGTAAAGGGGTTTATTGAGCTGTTTCTGATGTTAGCCAGAAGGAGCAGATCCTGGGACAAGTTCCTGTAACTTCCAACAGCCAGGCTAGATAACATTCAGAAAAGTATGTCCGCTAAACCAAGAGTGAAGATTTTTGTAACAAAAATCTGAGCCAGGTGTGGTGGCATATACCTGCAATCCTAGCACTTGGGAGGTTGAGACAGGAGGATCCTCGAAGGTTCAAGTCACCCTGGGCTAGAATGATTTCAAGGCCAGCCTGAACTACACAGTGAGACACTGTTTCAAAAAATGTTTGAGGAAGGAGATCATAAATTATTTACATTTAAACTGCCCTGGCTATAGACAAGAGGGGTGGGGTAACATAAAGCAGGGATAGCTTTGGGATAGGAGTCTGTAAAACGTAAGTATTGCTTGTGCACAGGTCACAAAGGGACTTAGGATTTTAACATCCACTCAAGAATGTGAAACAGTCTTTTGCTTTGGGATGGTAGCTGCTAATTTATTAATCTCTCCAGTGCTCCCTCCCCTCCTCCGTAGACCCCTGTAATTAAATATAGGACATCTTGGAATTATTTTTATCATCATTTTGGATGTGTAGGTGGGCCTAAATGCAATCACAGATGTTATCATAAGGCAGCAATTTGAGAGAGACAGGGGAGAGCATTGTGTAATTTCATATGGTTTCCTTTCTTGTAGTGCTGGGGATTGAACCCAGGGTCTCATGCATGCTAAGCATGTGCTTCACCACTGAGCTACACCCCCAGCCCTGGTTTTCATTTTATTTTACCTTGGTTGGGCTCATTATGGTCCTCCCTCCTCCCTGCTGCACTCTCTCCTTTTTTCCAGCTGTTGCCTACACTGGCCCCAAACTCCATGGTTCAAGCCATCCTCCTGCCTCAGCCTTCTATGTTGTTTAACTACAATATGCACCATCATTCCCAGCTGATAAGCATTCTTGAATCTGTAGTCTGATGTCCTTTGTTAATTATGCAAATTTCTGTAATTACCTCCTAAACTATTGCTTATGTTTCATTTTCCTTTATCTCCCTTGGATACCAATTTCCTGTTACAGCTTCTTACTGTATCTTCCATGTCTCAATCTTTCTTTGTCTTACTGTTCTATCCCTCTCTGCATCATTCTGGATATTTTCTTGTAGCTTGTGTTCACTCCCTAATGGTTTTCTTCAGCTATGCCTGTTCTGTTGTCAAATCTGTCCATTGAGATGCTAGTTTCAGTCCCTGGTAATTTTCATTTCTACTGTTTCACTTTGTTTTTAATATAATTTCACATCTTTGCAAAATCCTCGAAACTTTTCTCTGAAGACCCCAGTATCTGGAAGCCCAGCAGATCTGTTCAGATGGATGTTCCTGCTGGTTTTCACTCATCTCTTTGTGCAGTTACATTCTGTTAGATAACCTACAATGTTCTTGCAAAAAAAGATTTACTTTGAAGCCTTTTCCTACTGCTGTACAACAATATTCTCCCAAGTTATCTCACAGGCTCCACGGGTCAGGAGTCCAAGCACAGCTTAGTAGGGTCCTCTGCTTCATGGTTTAAGATTGGAATCGTGCCATTAAGTGGTCTCAGCAGAGGTTCCACTGGGAGAGAAACCACTTCCAAAATTACACCATTGTTGGCAGTGGTCAGTTCTTTGTAGACTATTAAAAAAGGGCCTGTTATGGTTTGTGTGTGTGTGCCCCCAAAGCCTCATGCGGTCATGGGGCAGGCTTTTAGAGTTTGATTGATTATGGGTGTGAGAGCTACCCCTGCCCTGGGGTGCATAGTTTGCATATGTAAGGGAGAGGAAGAGGCTGCTTGGGGCCATTCCTCCCTTTTAGTGCTTGTTGCTTTTGCTGTGTTCTGCCGCCATGAGCTGTAGCCCTCTGCCATGTGCCACTCTGCCTCGTAACCTGCCAAGTATGGACTGAAACCTCCACAAACTGTAAGCGAAATAAACCTTTTCTTCCTTAATTTTGGGTGTCAGGTATTTTGTCCCAGCAACGAGAGCAAAGTAACCAAGACAGGGCCCCTCCAAAAGACCAGCTCACATCATGGCATCTTGCTTGCTTGGTACCAACAAGGGAGTCATTAAGATGGGCATTAGAATTCAAAGTGGCCATGTATGCACATAATCATGTATGTCCCATCATCTTCATGGTTCTCTACTGGTGTGATGCTACAGGTCTCACACACAAACAAGGAATACAAAAAAGACAGGAGTCATAGGGGCCACTTTACGTCTATCCACCATAGCTAGGGTCTTTCCTTTCTCTTGAGGGCAGATTAAGATTTACTTCTCCGAGGCAGTTGGAAGCTCCAGAAATCTTAAGGTAACGTCCATCTAATTTCAGAGACAGAGAATATTCACAGCTGAGCTGCCAACCCTTCAAAGACCTTTTCTGCATCATTCTTACTCTTAACGGGCAGCCTTGGGATTCCTGACTCATGGTCCTGGCAAGTTACCAACATACCCACTTGACATTCGGCCACCACTTACAGGTTCTGTTCTTAGAAATTCTTCATGGTGGTCACTGTCTGATGTCTTTAAGCAAATGTTTTTAATATTTTGTGTCCCTATTCGGGTTTTCAGACATACCTCACGGAAGACCCAGTCCAGATTGCTTGGTCAGTCATTACTGTAAATGTCTTTTTTTTCTAGTTCTATAATTTATAATTATTAGCTTTGACATGCAGGCAAAAGATAATTTGTAAGATGTATTTCAACACTGCCTCACCTATTAAAGCAAAATACTTATTTTCAGCTTAGAAAAAATATTATTACAGAGTATCAACTTTCCCAATTAAATTATACTGAATATTTCCATTTCTGGAGCTTTCTATATTTTGTGAAAGAAAATCCTGATCTTATTACATACTGAATATTTATGGGTAAAACATGAGCCTGTAAAATATCATAGATTTTAAAAATTTCTAGATCAGTTGGTATTCTGCCAATATCCTGTATGAAAGTTAAATGTATTCCTACAAATTACACACTGGATTGTTCAAGACTGCCTTGCCGAATGGAAATCACACTGATTAAAACAGCATGCTGTGGTTAGTTCCTACGATGCTAAGATATTTGAAGAATATTAGTATGTTTTCCATTTCACAAATAGGCTTTTTTTTTATAAATAGGGTTTCTGTTGTTGAGACAGGGTCTCTCTATGTAGTTCAGGCTGGCCTTGAACTCACTAGTTAGCCCAGACTAACCCTGAACTCATGGTATCCTGCCTCAGCCTCCCAAGTGCTGAGATTACAGGTGTATACCATCCCAGCTGGCTTTCATTTCAAAAGGAAAGCTTTAATTGATAAAAACCTTCACTATAAGTACACTGGTTTGGGAGGGCATTATATAGATTTAAGTGCCTTTTGTCTTTTTTTTTTGAGAAGGGTCTTGTTATGTAGTTCAGGCTACTCTTGAACACAAAGCAATCCTCCTGTCTCAGCCTCTAGAGTGCTGGAATTACAGGTGTTCACCACCATACCTGGCTGTGCCTTTTATTCTTATGTAAGTAAAGCACAGGGCTTATTTTTATGATCCGTAACTACTGATTATATTTTTACTTTTATTTATTTTTTGCCTTTTTGAGACAGAGTCTTTCTATGCAGTTCAGGCTAGCCTTGAGCGCACTTTGTAGCCCTGGCTGGTCTCAAACTCGCAATGATCCTCCTGCCTCAGCCTCCCCAGTGCTAGGATTACAGGCGTGCACCACCACGCCCGGCCTGATTATATTTTTGAAACAGTTGTCTAAGACATTAAAATATGGCTACTCCAGGAATAAATTTTAAAGTATAAACTACTTATCAACTACTTCTAGTATAGATTTAGTATAAACCACTATTTGCACCTACTGTAAGCCTACACTGCTTTTTTCCAAAATTTCCTGGTCATGTGACCACCTGGAATGAAAGCTAAATTTTTTATCCTTCCTTGAAGTTAGTAGAGTATTATGAGTACATTTTGGCCAACAGTTTTTACTTTTTTTTTTTGTTTGCTTTGTTTTCCAGTACCAGGAATCGAACTCACAACCTTGCACTTCCCAGGCAGGCACTGTGCCGCTGAGCTAAATCCCCAGCCCCTGGCCAATAGTTTTTAAACCAAAGTGCTGGGCATAATTTCAGGGATGTTTCCTTAAATACAGGGTTGTCACCATCTCACTTCCCTCCTTCCTGCTGGCCAGAATGCTGCCATGAGGGCTGCAGTTTGAATCATGAGTCGGAAACCAAGCACTGAGGTTGTCAGAACAACATGGCAGCCTTGAGATACCTCTGGGATTCTCTGAAGAGAGAGATAAAACCCTTCCTTGCTTTCTGTCTTTCTTTCTCTTTTTTTTCATTTGTGGTTTTAGTTTTATGCTGCTGAACCTAATCTTAACTGTTACACATTCAACTGTTAGCATATTACTCCTTTATTAGAAATTGTAAATAAGAAATTATTTCAACACCTGAAGACCAAGTGACAACAGAAGATTCCATGGGCTCAGGATTTTGAGACATTCTGGAAAGTGTTTTTTGTAAAGTATAGCCTTTCCGTGGCATGGCAACATCATTCTTCTTTAAAAAGGTAACTGGACAAACATCATTTCCACCATCGCCTATATAAACAATTCGCGTATAATTCACTCCCTGTTGTAGCTGTTTATCTACAAACTCTACCAAAACTACATTTTTACAAAGATTCTTTGGGCATCTCTTGCAAGAATGTGCATGATAATTTTCCACAGTGAGGTGGCCGTGGCTATTAAAAGCTGCAGGATTTGTAAACACTTTATCGAACATATCATGAAAATTGACAGCTTCTAAAATCCATTCTATGAAGACTGAATTTGAATCTGAAATAATGATGCAGTCAAATGTCTCCTTATTCTTTCTTATGAAGCTGAAAAGTTCCAGCATCCCTGGAGAGAAAGGTATTGACGTCATCGCTCTTCTCATTTCATCTTCTCTTACACCTTCATCTCCTAAGTATTTAAAGACTCTGCCCATGAATTCTGTCCAAAATCCTTTTTGATAAGATTCTTGTAGTTCAATAGGAAGCCTCTTGTCTGGAGCACACCGTACAATCCAGGTATCACTATTGTCATCTATGATTGTATTGTCAAAGTCAAACACCAACAAAATTTTCATGATTCCAGATTTGGGTTACCCTGAAAAAGAAAAAACATCCTTCCCTAAACATAGCGTTTACATATACGACCATTACACTCTTAGTTTTTTTTCTGGTACTGGGAATTGAACTCACAACCTCACGCTTGCCAGGCAGGCACTGTGCCATGGAGCTAAATCCCCAGCCCTGTTATACTCATTTAAAAACACAAGTATAAGTCTGCTAACACAAGTAATATAAGCAAGAGATCAAACACTAAGACCATCACTTAACCACTTTTTTCCTAAAAAGCAAAGTTCATATTTGAGTGTTTTATGTGAATGGAAAATAAAATATTTAAAAGAGAACACTCATTATTGTGTTCCTGTGGGGAGGATTCTCTGGGTACTCAGAATGAAACTACAGAGCTATCCAGAAAGAGAAGTGATGAAACAATCTCTTACAGTCAAATACATAAAGGTTATGAGTGAAAAAATGCATATTAATCATAGTTACTATCTCAAAGTTAATCACAGTCTCACTTATTAGTATATAATATTTGCAATAATCCTCATATTAAATATCACATTTAATCTGGATTCTCTGCATACTGACCAACACTCTGAACAAATTTCACGTAGAATATGAATTTTAAAATTAAAATAATTTTTTAGAAAAGTTATTTGACTTAAAAATCAATTTTAAATGCCGGTGTTATAACTAATTGATTTAATTCTGTACTTAAATTCTAAAAATTTACTTGAAAATAAAAGGTTAATTCAACTGTTCCAAACTAGAATAACTTTTGTTAACATTTTCACGTTTATTTATATCTTCTCTACATAGTTTAGCTTTGAGGTGCCAAATAATCTGAATGTGCTTTGAGTAACCACTGCTTATGATGTGACGGAGAAGTCCCTGCTTTCATTCAAAGATAACGAACAGGCATGGGGATATAACTCAGTGGCACAGGACTTGCCTCGCAAGCATGAGATCATGGGTTCAATTCCCAGCACCTCAAAAAAAAAAAAAAAAAAAGATAATGAAGGTCATTAATTACAGATCTCAAGAGAACAAGAAAAATTAAAGTGCTCAACAAATGGTATAAATGAAAATTATCATGTAAAAAGTGAGTAGTAATACAGGATACCCAGGAAAGGCTAGAATTTTTACATAAAAAAAAAAAAAAAGTTTAAAGCATCTGTCTTGGTTACTTTTTTTTGTTACTAAGACAAACTATCTAAAGCCCAGAATTAAGGAAGGAAAGGTTTATTTAGCTTACAGTGTGGAGGTTTCAGTCCATACCTGGCTGGCAGAGTGGCACATGGCAGAGGGCAAGTGTTCATGGCAGCGAAAGATAGCAAAGCAAGAGCAAAGGGGGGGGGATCAGCAAACTGAGAGCAAGCCTCCTTCCTTCCCTATATTGTATGTAAGTGGGCTACCCCCACTCTGGGGCCTGTAGCAGTCACACAATCTCCACGCCCTCCTCCTGCACAGGCTCAGGATGAATACAAAGTAAGCACCCTGGGTTCCCTGCTGAGTCACACAGTTAGCCTTCTAAACTTCTCACACTGACACAATGAACACCATCTCAGAGCAGGAAGGGCATGTTCTTTTCACCCCAGGAGGTAGAACTGCTGAGTCACTTAGCCAAACCTCTAGACTCACCAGTTTGACACAGTGTATCAACTATAACAATCCACCCCTTGTCAACCTGGCAACCAGACACATTTCTTTAAACCAGTTTTTAGATATAAAGACATTATATTACATTAGAACCACAACATTTCACCCCCCAAAGACTCATGCACATCCCTTTATGCAAAAGGCATTTAGTCCATCTGCAAGAGTTGCCAAAGTCCTAACAGTTTTGGCATTGCTGAAAAGTCCAAGTACCAAATTGCCTCCTAGATATAAGGCAAACTCTCAGTTGCAAGCCCCTCCCACAAATGAAAAGTTAAATATTTTTAACATTTAATGGCACAAAATAAGCACTTTTATTCTAAGAATTACAAACAGGGGAATACAAAGGCATGCGACCAAAGCAAGTCCAAAATCCAGCAGGGCTAACGTTATGTCCTGTAGTTTTAAGTGCAGCATCTGAAGCAAGCTGTAGCACATTGTGAGCTCTAATGGGCCTGCATGACTTCACCCCTATGGCACTTTTAGTGGTTATAGCTCCCACGGCTTCTCTCTTGGGCCCACTTCCCTCTCTCCTTGCAGCCTTCCTCAGGCAATTTACGTTTTTGGCTTTTTTAAACTTTTCAGGTCTCTACTGCACCTTTTGCTTTACTCTCACAGCTTTACACATTGTCCTCTCAGGGCACACTGCCTGGCATCCCAGGCCTTCTGAAATCGAGATGCAAGCCTTTTTTAACCTCAGAACTCTTGCATTCTGTATGCATCTAGTGCCACGTGGATAATGCGAAGGTCTGCTGCCACCTGGGGCAGTAGCCAAGCTTTCCCCTCTCTTGGCCATAGGGGTCAAATGTCTGGATCGCTGGGCACTCTGAATCCAATTCTAAGAAGCAAATTTTCTATGCTGTCGCCATTTTGGAACCTGGTGCAGCTGCTGCTGCCATTCTGGAACATGGTGCTCTCCAGCTTTCTTCTCAAAGGAAAATCTTTCATTTTTGCAGTTTTGAGGCTGCAAAGGGTGGAGACTAGCTGCTTGTGATGCCTCAGGCCATCTTTTTTATTTTCTTGTTCCTTCCCAGCAATGGAGATCTCAGCCTTAACTTTGGAGTCCACAGCTTTACTGGAGTTTCCTTTCTGTTGTAAACTCACAACATTTTAAATCATCCTGCTTGGCTCTTTGCTCTTGATTCTCAATATAAATCTGGCTAAAAGCCCCCAACAATAGCCATGCCTCTGCCCCAACTTTTCACTGCCTTAAAATTTTTTTTGCCAATTAGTCTACTGCCCTTAATCTCAGACTCAGGCAAAGTCTCTGGACACAAGCAAAATACAAACTTTCTGCCAAGCCATAACACACATCATCTGGAGTCCAATAACCAATGCAGTCCTTCTTTCCAGTAGAAACCTTCTGAACCTTCTTTACTGGCAGGATTTTTATCAGCCTTCTGGTCTTCTTAACTCTGACCAGACTCTCCCATACAGAACAGCCTAAGCCGTTCCAGCTCTCTTTTAGGCAACATCTCTGAACCTTTCCAAACACTTCCCACAAGCCATTTCCAAAGGCTCTTGAACCACATGGTCAGATACAGTCACAGCAATGACCCCACTCTTGGTACCAAATTCTGTCTTGGTTGCTTTTCTCTCATTACTGAGACAAAATACCCACTGCCCAAAATGAAGGAAGAAAAGGTTTATTTAGCTTATACTTTGTGGAGGTTTTAGTCCATACTTGGCTGGCTCCAAGGCAGAGTGGCACATGGCAGAAGGCAACAGTGGATGGTGGCAGAAGACAGCAAAGCAACCACAGCAAAAAGGAGGAGTGGCAGAGAAAAGCAAGCCTCTATTCCTCTCTTGTATTGAAAGCAGGCTACCCCCACGCGGGGTGTGTGTAGCACTCACATAATCTCCATGCCTCTTGCACAGGATCAGGATGAATATAATGCAAGCACCCTGACTCCCTGCTGAGTCACACAGTTAACCTTCTAAACTTCTCAAATTGACACAATGAACAGCATCCCAGAAGAGTAAGGGTGTGTCCTTTTCATCTCAAGATGCATAACTGCTGAATCACTTAGTCAAACCTCTAGACTCCCCAAGTTGACATAATGTATCAACTGTAATAGTATCACAAGTATTTTTGAGAAATGACTATATTTCAAGCTCTGGACTAAGAACTTCACAATTGTTATCACATTTTCATCTTTTAAAATTAGCACATACCGCTGCACTTGCTGCAGAACATGGTGGTGCACACCTGTAATCTCAGGACGTGGTAGGCTGAGGCAGGGGGATCACTGTGAGTTTGAGGGCAGCCTGAAGTACATAGTGAGACCCTGTCTCAAAAAACAAAACAAAACAAAACAAAAGGCTACAACAGCCTGCTCTCTCCTGTACAGCATGCTTATTTTCCTACTTTTATGGGGCCCAAATTGATTCTGCAGAGCCTGTTTCTTTTCCTATCGTTAATAAATATAACACTTTGTTACCATTTAAAAAAAACACAAAAAAATCAGTGCATTGTCGTTTTAAAAATGTATAAAATGAGGTTTAAAGTGGCTAAGTATTACAGCTGGAATTCTAGACTCAGGTTAGCTTGATTCTAAAGTGTATAAATACAACACTCCTGTCTCCCTAAGACTTAGAACATTAAAGTCTGTTCATTAATTTAAAAATAAAACATGAAGTATGATATTTTGGCAAAAGGGTATTTAATTACATAAGAATATTCATTAATGTCAAAGTACACACTAACCAGAACACCGTATATGTGATCTACTTTATATCCATTCTAAGGATTTACCAAGAAATCCTAAAAACTGAAGAACTCCATAAGATCAATTAAATATGGAAAACATGGCCTTTAACCACACGTTTCAGCTTATTACAAAAGATACCTAGTACAGAAGACAGGATCTTGGTGCACACAAGAGAAAGTATTTTGTGTCTCCCAATTTAGAATACCTGGAGAATAAATAATCTTAGAAAGGTAGCTCCGATTGTGTGAATTTAGATGATACGTAATATTTTGATACTTTGGATTCTCGTATTTCTTTCCTTACAGTACTGAAGATTGATCCCAAGACCTTTGTACTAAACTCCATCTCTAGCCCTTTATTTTTTTTTAGTTTTTATGTTTTTTTTCCGGTACCGGGAATCAAACTCATGACCTCGCACTTGCCAGGCAGGTGCTATGCCGCTGAGCTAAATCCCCAGCCCCTAGCCCTTTATTTTTAAATAGGGTCTTACTTAGTTCCTAAATTGTCCACACTGGACTCCAATTTGTAATCCTTCTGACTCAGCCTCCCAGAATGCTGGGATTACAGGTATTTGCCACTATACCCAGCTGGGCTTTCTAATTGTGCTGTGTTTTTTTTTTTTCTTACATCAGGAAAGTACTGATAGGCAATGGGAGAAAAAATTTTGATTACATGAATAACCTGAAATATAAATACAAAATAAGGAATGTTATATAAAAGTTTTTTTACAGTGGATAAAATCATAAGCATTTTGGTGACTAAGACTTCCAGGTTCCAGTTTTTCTTTTTACTTAATAATAGGGAAAGGCACATGACTGCAATTATAGCACCCTGGAAGGCTGAGGGGTTAGGATCACTAGTTTGAGCCCAGCCTGGGCAAATTAGTGAGACGCTATCTCAAATTTATTTATTTATTTATTGGTATGTGGAATTGAACTTAAGGACATTGTGCTTGCCAGGCAGGCCCTGTGCTGTTGAGCTATCTCCCCAGCCCATCCTATCTCAAATTTAAAAAGGGTTAAAAATGTAGATTAGAGCAAAGGCCCTCAGTTCAATGGCTGGTATCACCAAAACAAAAATAGCACAGTGAGATACCACATTTTACTGTTCATAAACATGTTGAGATTTAGTGATGCACTTGAAATAAAAATGTCTCCAAAATTTAAGGAAGTGCAAAAATTGTAGCTTTAAGAATGTTAATCTACTTTGAAATTTATTTGTTAAAATTCCAGAGTTAGATTTTGGGTTATTCTGAAACAGACTCTCACAATATAGTCAAGACTAGCCTTGAGCTCACTCTGTAGCCTAGGCCTGACTCCAAGTTGAAATCCTCATGCCTCAGCCTCCTGGAGGCTGGCATTACAGGCATGCACCATGTCATCTGCCTACAAAAATACTTCCTATTCTCTCCAAAGGCGCCAAGTACTGTCTATCTGTAGGTCTTCAGTGTTTCCACTGTATAACAACAGCCTGTATTTTCACAGTAATACAGAGAACTCCATGGACATCCAAGAACTGGGGAACTGGTTAAAGTATGCACCTGGAGTAAATGTATTATTTGTAACCACATAATGGAAACTGTGTTCAATCAGTAAAAGCTAAGGCAGTTCAAATTATACAAGGAAGTCACAAAATAGTGTTTATAGTGGAATCCCAGTTTTGTTTTACAAAATAAGTGTTTATGTGTACAGTAATTGGTTTAGTTGTAGCTTATGCTTCTGTGCTGACTTTTATTTTTAAAAATTTATGCAGAATAACAAACTATTTCATGTCAGTTTGCAAATACTACTGTTTTAAACTCACAACAACAAAAAACAGGAGAGAAAAAGAACACATAACTACTGTAGATTGACTTGTGTTCAGGTTGGAGAGGCAGCCTGCAATTTAAAGTCAAATGATATCGGGTCACGTCAAACTGGCAAATTACAGACACCAAAGCTTACAAGATTCCATACTTTTTGTAATTAATTAAAACTGCAGGCTGGGATTTGTGGCACACATCTTTAATCCCAGCACTGGGGAAGCTGAGGCAGGAGGATCGCTGTGAATTTGAGGCCAGCCTGAGCTATACAAGCAAGTTCAACGCCAGCGAGTTCAAGGTCAGCCTGCACTACATAGTGAGACCATGCCACAAAACAAAACAAAACACTGCAAGGAATTCTTGGTGGGAGAGAATTCTCCATAGTCCCTGCATATCTTACAAGCAATGTTACCAGTGTCCATTGGTCTCGACAGTCTCAAGGATGTGCAGTGAACAGCCTTAAAAGGGCAAGTTTGCTGTCCGGTCTAGTAAGAGGTTTGAGTCCCCTGGCTCACGGTCCGGTCCTGTAGCAACGCACTCCACATCCACATGACTCCCGGCTGGCTTTGCATCATCCTGCGAGAACTAATACCTGGAGAAACTGAGGCAAAATCGCTGCTATTCTGGCTACTGCTGCAATTCATGTCTGACCTCGGAGTCTTGGGTCTTGTAGAGAACTGTGGCAGGCTATTGTTGGACTGCCAAATCTGGTAAAATCTCTCTTCCTAGTTCTCTACACGTTTTAAATTACGCTTTCAAAAAGCCACATGTTGAATGTGCACAAAGTTCTAGCCTCAGATATCTTGCTGACCTTTCCATACTTACCAGCATTACTGTGGAACATCCGTTAGAAACCCTGCAGAAAAACAGCAAAATTATATGTTAGAACACTCAACAGATTTTTGTGTCATTAAGGATTTGACTGGTCCTCAAAACACATTAAATTCACTACACTTAATTTATATATTTAAAAAAATTTTTTTTTGTTTTGAGGCCGGGTCTTGCTATACAGTTCAGGCTGGCCTTGAACTCACTCTGTAGTTCAGGCTGGCCTCGAACTTGCAGCAATTCTCCTGCCTCAGCCTCCTGAGTGCTGGGATTACAGGTGCGTATCAGCACACCCGGCTCTAAAGTATCTCAAAGGACCTGACATGAATGTTTTGGGGACAACATCCAAGTTTTAACATAATTATTTTATTAAAAACTTAGATCATCAAGCCTTGATCATGCCTTGGAGATGAATAATTTAAAAAACAACTCTTACGTCCATTATTCCCTGGGTTTCTATATTTAAGAGCGGGCTCTGCCCTGGCTCCAAGCGCGAGGACGTCGCGGGCCGCACACACGGAGCCTAGGCCTGGCACTCACACACCTGCCGGGTCCAGCCCGAAGGTAGACGTCGGCGCCTAGTGGAGGGTCGGCCGCCCACCAGCAGATGCACAACAGCTGGCGATAGCAGCAGCAGGCCAGGCCGGGGCCCGGGGCTCCTCACTGACCCAGGCCTGCCTTTCGCAGTCAGCCGCGCCACTGGCGCCTGCCCAGCGGCGCTTGCACAGATACAGCCCGGGCCGCGTCACGGCGCCCGCCCACAAGCACCACCCACCCGGCCCCCGCTTCCGGCGCAGGCGCAGTCTCCGTTCTCCAGCCCCGCGGCGCCCTGGAGCGCGTTCCTGGTTCCTCGGCGACGACTGGCGTCACTTCCGTTGGTTGTTGCCAAGCAACCACGAGGCCTGGGAAACACTGCGGGCTGGATCCGGCTCAGCGCTAGTCTCTCCAGGTCTTGCACGCTGGGGGCAAGTAGCAGAGATGCTGGTGCGGTTTGGACGGCGCTCTGGACAGGCGAGAGAAAGCAAGGGTGCGTTAAAGTGGCCCATTCGGCACAGGGGTTGTTTCTGGCACTCAGGCATGTGGCGAGAGATGACGGTACCAAGTGAAGGCTTCGGTTACTCTTTGAAATGAGCCCCACCAACTCGAACGCATCCCCAGTTAGCTTTGTTGGACTCTGGAAGTTAGACCGGTTAGCCTGCTGTGAATGAGTGGAAGAGGGAAAGGGGACCTGTGGGTGGGTAGAAGAAAGTTTACAGAAATAGAAATGGAGAAATCATAAAACATTTGAGACCCCCCAACTTACTGGCTGGTCAGATGCTCAGCCAGTTGCAGCCCTGGAGTCTGGTACTTGAGGAGCCCCCGGGTTCTTAGGTGTTATTATTTACTCAGTGAACTGGAATATGTTTAGGAAATATCAGACACCTCTGTAGCTGTGCGGCAGACTTGCTGAATGTCTTAGAAGGAAATATCTCAGTTCCTTCCATTCTTTTTCTTTTCTTTTTGTCTTTTTGAGGCAGGGTCTCGCTATGCAGTTCAGGCTGGCCTTGAGCTCACTGTGTAGCCCAGGCTGGTCTTGAACTCTCAACGATCTTCTGGGATTACAGGCGTGCTCCACCAGGCCTGGCTGCTTCGCAGGATTGTAAATTTTAAAAAGCGCTACTTGACATATTGCAATTTAGAGAATCTGTTATAAAATTTTGATTTTGCAATAAAAATAGGTAAGTGGGACTGCTAAAGAACTTTTTATTAATTCCCACTGTAATAGTTTCTTAAGCCTGTAAATTCCCAGTATACTGTTGTCATGGTAACAACTAGAATGTTGGGAATGTGAACTACTTTCACGTCATTGTCGAGCTTCTGTTAGCAATACCTCCCCTCCCAGTGCCAGGTACAGAGGCACAACACACGCTTCTGCCATTTTCTGACCTGGCCACAGGTTCAAAGCAGTGGGGCTCCCTGATTTTGGATTGGAACCTCTAGAACCACGAGCCAAAGTGCCTTTCTCCATGAAGCACTTTGGGTATTTCTCTGTAACACGCAAAGCTGATGAACACCTTTGGAAAAATCTCAGTTTTTTAAAAAAATCTCAATTATGAGGTTTATTATTTCACCTGACTCAGGACTCACTGGATATGTTTGTTAAAATGATCTGTGGCAATTACTTTTTAAAAACTTTTTATTTACTTTTTGGTTTTTTTGAGACAGGTCTCATTATGTATTCCAAACTGGTCTTGAACTGATGATGTAGACCAGGCTGGCCTCCAGCTCATGAAGATCCTCTTGTCTCAGCTTCCCAAGTACTGAGATCACAGGGGTGCACCACCACATCTGGCAGTCTGCAGCAGTTGTTAACATTACAGCTACCTGAGGCAGTGCTGTAATTTAAATGTGTTCCCTAAAAAGCATGTGTTGGAAACTTAACCCCAGTGCAGTGGCATTGGGAGGCGGGGCCTACTGAGAGGGGTTGGCCATTGGGGTGGCTGGATTGGAGCCGTCATCATGGAGTGGATTGCTTATAAAAAGGGAAGTGTGGCTCCCTTTTACTTTCTCTCTTGCCCTCTCTCTGCCTTTGCCCCATGGGATTCCTTCCACAGTGTTACAACACAGATGCTAATATCTTGATCCTGGGCGTCCTAGCTCCAAGAACAGTGAGCCAATCTCTGATCGTTATGAGGTATCCAGTTTGAAGGTATTCTAATAGAGCCACATGAGATGGACTAAGATGAGCATAGATAAAGCTGAGGGCAAACAGCAGGCTGACTGAAACACACGAAAAGAATGGGTGGGAAATGAACTATCCATAGGAAGCTTTTGAAAGATTCTGACACATTTCTGGGAATCTACAAGGCCAAGTGCATGCATGAACTATGCACATGCCCAGAAAAGACATGAAAATGCCCCCCATCACCTCTAAACGTCCTTGAGGCATGCTACCACGAAGCTAGGCTCCTACCGCTAAGCTATAGTCTAGCCCCTCTAATATCATTCTGAATGGTGAGAGACTGAAAATATTTTCCTGTAGATCAGGAACGGGACAAGGATGCCACTTTTTGCACACCCACTTAATATTCAGCTGGGAGTTCCAGCTAGAGCATTCAGACAAGCAAAACAAAAGGCCTCCACATTGGAAAGGAAGAAGGAAAACTATATTCATAGATGCATAATATTCTACACTGAAGTCCTAAAGAGTTCGCTAGGAAATTTCATGAACGAATAAATAAAGTTCAGTAAAGGTGGAAGGATAAATGATCAATTTGCAAAATTAAAGTACATTCATATACACTTGTAATGAACAATCTCATAATGATAGGGAACAATTTCATTTATAACAGCAGCAAAAATGCATTTGAAAAAAACCTCAGTCACACACACACACACACACACACACACACACACAAGAAAAAAGATATTAGCTGGGCATGGTGGCACATGCTTGCAATCATAGTTACCAAGGAGGCTGAGGCAAGAGGAATGCAGATTCAAGGGCAGCCTGACAACTCAGTAAGACCCTGATTCAAAATAGAAAATAAACAGGGCTAGGAATGCAGCTCAGTGCTTCCTGGGTTTAGTTCCTGGTATCACACACAATACACACACATATGCAAACACACAATTTTGTAATCTATACAAAAGATGTCACTAATGCAGGGCCAGGCATAGTGGCACACACCAGGAATCCCAGCACTTGGGGGAGTGCGGCAGGAGGATCAGCATGAGTTTGAGGCTAGCCTGGGCTACATAGCCAGTTTAAGAATAGCCTGAATTACAGAGTGAGACCCTCTCTCAAAAACAAAACAAAACAAAAAAACCCCAAGCAAAACAACAGAAAATCACAGGTACATGGACTGGCTTTAGATACCTTTAGCTCACTTGCCACCCTTCCCCCTGCCCCATTTAGCTTTTTTCTGTCTCATCTCAGTAAGACTGTCCTCTGACAACTAAACTCTGGTAGACTAAATCACGGCCATGTGAAGTCACCTGCGGGGCTTTCCGGCTCCTCAAGGTTATAGGGAGATGAGGCCCATCTGTGGCAGCTCAAAATAGTAAAACGCCTGTTCCACTCTTTCTGGGGACTCTGTCGTATTTCTTTTTTTTTTTTTTTTTTTGGTTTTTCTCCGGTACCGGGAACCAAACTCACGACCTTGCGCTGTTCCTAATTAGAGTCCATGAAAAGGTCTACTTGACCAAAGTATGTCCTGAGTGCAGATACGCTACTGAAGTCGAGATGGCAAAGAGGAGGGGCCCCATGGTGCTCACACAGCTTTCTGACTTCCTGTTTTTCCCCTCCGCTGCCAGAGCCCACTCACCACTGTTTCCTCTGCGGGGAGTAGCTCCTGCCAGTGTAGGCCATTTGCTCTACTGAGGTACTATTAGTAATTGTGTGCTTCAGTTGGAAGTGGTGGCACATGCTTGTTGCTAGCACTCGGGAAGTTGAGGCAAGAGGGTCACTGTGAGTTTGAGGCTAGCCTGAATGATATAGTGAGGCCCTGTCTCCAAAGTAAATTATTTTCCAGTAAAGAAACAAGTTAAAAAATGTTTGTCTAGATTCACATAGTTTGAAATATAGTATGTTTGGAAAATGTCCAGGTGGTCTGACTCCAGTGTGTTACAATATCTTTGTTGTACCTGGCACACCTATCATTATTCAAAGGCCTTTCCTATTTTTGTGAATTTCCTTTCTTATCAGCCCTAACTCTTCAAGACGGGAGGCAGAATTTACTTTTTTCAGCCTCCCTTGCAGCTAGGGTACAGGCATAGAATTGCAACTTAACCAGTCATTGGGCATGGTGCATGCCTGTAATTCCAGCATGGGCGGCTGAGGCAGGAGGATTGCTGTAAGTTCAAGATGTTTGAGACCAGCCTGGGCTACAAAGTGAGCTCAAGACCAACCTGAACTGTATAGTGAGACCCTGACTCAAAAAAAAAAAAAGAAAAAAAAAGACTCAATGAATGAATTTTATATGTGCCAGATTTATTTTCTGAAAAGACAAATAAAGAAACAAACAGCAGGTGGGATACATTTTCTAAAGAGATTGGCAATAAAAGTATACTCATTTCAGAGGAAACAGCAGTAGACATTCAGGTATATGATACTGAGCAGGACAGTTCATAAATCGGGCCAGGTGAGTGAGTTGTCTACCGAACGCCATTTGCCATGGGTCTTCACTGGAACCTCATGATGTGATTTGTGTGAGGTTTGAGGTGTATACCTCTTCCAAAGATGACTCTCTGGCTCTCTGGGAGACCCAACAGGGTACTTAATATTCCTTAATGAAGTCCTTTTCTGTTGAAACTAGTGGAATGAGTTTGGTTGCTAATAAGAAGAATCTCAGTTGATTAAAGGGGCTGGAACATTTCTTCAAAGAGAGCAGTTAATGAGCTCCACTGTATCATTTAGGATGCTTTTGGGTTTGTATAAGAGAATCCCCAACTCAAATCATGTTCAAAAGTAAGGAAACCGATTCATATAACAGGTACCCCAGACTTAACTGGGGTTGATTTGCAACATAATGAGGTCACCATTGTTCTAGGTCAGTGATGGCACACGCTTTAGAGTTTTCAATGCACAAATACCCATCTGTGGTACGCGTACCATAGGTTCACCACCACTGTCCTAGGTTCTTCCTGTGATTCTTCTTTGCAGTTCACACTAAGCTTCACCCAAAGCTGGCCCCTTCTGTGGTTATAGGATAGCTACCTCTCCATCTTCCTTGCTTCCTTGTTTATATCCAGTTGGAGAATCTCTTGGGTGTCTCCCAGAAGAACAAGGAAGCACTTTAAAAAAAAAAATCACAAATAAACCTTTCATTCTCTTCCTTTGCTTAATGGAGAAATAATCATTGGCAAGGAGATGCAAGTACCTGCGGACGATCAGCCCCGCCCCCCAGACGGTAGTCGGTTCTCCAAGTCACATTGCTGTTGCTCAACGGGGAAGGAGTTGAGTCCGTTACACAGTGTGTGTACACCCACAAGATGACGCACTTATACACAGAACGAAGAGGATCCACTGTGAGCTCCCACATGCTTAGCTTTGAAAACTTTAAAGCAACCTATTGAAGTAGTTGTTACTGATCTCAGTTTTAAAGAGGAGGGCACCAAGGGCGAAGTTAAATGATGTGCTCAAGTTTACTCAGTAAGCACATGACCAAAGACTCAAATCGATGTCTCCATATTTTTTTCCACTTCATCTCAGCTATTCTTAAGAAGAGTAAACTAAATATTTTCAACAATTCTCAGGTGTCAAGCCAATTTAGAAATTTCTGAGGAACAATATCTTAGAGTCTTCCTGAATGTTATTAGTAATAATTTTTAAAATTTTCATTAGACATAAGGACCTCTGAAGATGGTGGACTTTCCTACCCACCTCTTCTACCGAGCAAGGTGGATCTCCGGCAGGTCACCATAATTCCACATGATGAGTGGAAAAGGATTCAGGAGAGCCTGGGCGGTTTGACAAGAGAAGCAGCTGCTCTTCATGCAGAAAGAAAGGCAAAAGAAGAAATGCACTTGCGATCCCAAGAACTGGTAAAACACTGGACTAATACCTATGCGGTAAGTGTTAATCCTCTAGAAGTTCACGTGGCCCTGAAGAATTACCCTCGTTTCTACATACTTCTTTATGAATAATTCTATGCATAAAGTATTACAAAATACATTGAAACACATTTTAATAGCTTTTTTTTTAGGTGGAAGGAAGTGATATACAATAAGCTAGATTTAAAGTGAACATTTTGATAAGTTTTGATGTATATATACACCCCAAGCCTTCATTGCAATGGAGATCATGAGTGTACTGATCACTCCAAAATTTCCTTGTGCACTATTTAACTTCTTCCTACTCCTCTCTATCCCTGGCCAACACGGATCTACTTCTTATTGTTACAGGTTTCATTTAACACAATTACTTTTATTTTATTTATTTATTTATTTATTTATTTTTGAGACAGGGTCTTGCTATGCAGTTCAGGCTGGCCTTGAGCTCACTTTGTAGCCCAGACTGGTCTCAAACTCACAGTGATCCTCCTGCCTCAGCCTCCCAAGTGCTGAGGTTACAGGCGTGCACCACCATGCCCAGATAGCACAATTATTTTGAAATTCATCCTTGTTGTATCCATTGTTCATTTTTATGGCTAAGTAGCATTCTGTTGTATGACATGCTGTAGTTTATTTATCTGGTCACTTGTTCATGGTTTGGCCTCAACCAAATATTCACCTTTGAGTTGTTTTCTTTTTTTTCTTTTTGCTATTAAAAATAAAGTTACCAAAAAAAAAAAACCTTAAAAAAAAATAAAATAAAGTTACCATGAACATTCATTTAGAAGTCTATATGTGGACATGTGATTCCATTTCTCTTGGGTAAATGTCTTTTGTAGGAAATGGAATTCTTTTGCATTTATTTGTAAACCTAAATATTAAGGGCATATGTAAATTACAATCTAAAAAACCTTATTTTTAAAAAACCTTGGCACATAAAGGTATGATAGAGTGATACATCCCCTCTACATTGTTTTTACATAAAAGTAGCATGCTATGCACATCTCCATAGGTTTTGGGGGGTTTTCTTTGGTACCAGGAATCAAACTCATGACCTCAGGCTTGCCAGGCAAGTGCTTATGCCACTGAGCTATACCCCGAGCCCTCCATAGATGTTAAAGAAGAATGAATGAAGATGCACCTTACCAGCAGCAATACTTACTATAAACCCATCGTAGTTAAAACTGGGACGTAGGCACAGATATTGACAAAATAGAATAGCTCGGATGAAACAGCCTGGAACAGTGGTGGCGACCTATGGCTCCTGTACCGCAGCGGAGTGTTTGTAACATTGAAGGCTCTGAAAGGGTCACCACCACTGGCCTAGAAACAAACCTGTGTTATGTATGAGAACTCAGCATAAGAGAGAAGCCGCACTGCAGATCAGAAGGGAAAGCATGGGGCAAATTTGATAGCTGATAACTGTGATAATTGGTAGATGAAAAATACTGAATTCTATACCAATTGTAGAGAATATTGAAAATGAATTTTAGCTGGATTAAAGCCCCAGTTTAAAAGCAAAACAATAGAATGTTCATATAAATTATAGAATCACAGGTCATAATTACAGACTCATATAACACAGTCATCACAAGTAACTTCTTCTTCAGACATGGGAAGTGTGGCTGCCAGAGGGGAAGAAAGATCTCACATGACAGAGACATTGAGTAAGCTCCTCAGATGTCTGGAAGAGCATATAAAAATGTGCTACTCTTGGTTTTCTAAAAGAGCAAAATCAGTAAAATATATATTTATTATTGGACTAGGGAGGAACGTTGGAAATAAACATAGAAACTCATACTAGAGGTTATCTTAGCATGAGAGGAGACAGCAGATGGAAATTAGAATTGGAGGGGGAAGTTCATTGTGTACCTCTATAATATTTTTGGGTTTTGAACCAGGTAAAGTATATATACCCAAAGAATTGGGTATATATATAATTTCAGAAATTAGCTCAAAACTGTGACTTCATATTTATTAAATATGCCAGTGCAGTAAAACTTACAAGGACAGTTCAAATTATCATCGTGCTAAATTTTGGTAAAATTAAATTGCAAAATGTAAACAAAAGATTGCTTTTGGGTTGGGGGTACAGCTTAGTGGTAGAGCACTTACCTTGCATGCCTGAGGCCCTACATTTGATTCCTAGCACTGCAAGATTGGCTGTGTCTTTTTACAGGGGATGAAAGAACAGAAACTTAAAGCCAAAAAAAAGCGCGATGAAGAAATTGAAGCCGAAAGACAAATCCTTGATCTGGAGGAGGAAATACACAAACAAGGACAAAGAAAAAAGGCCATTGAATATGCAAAGCAGTATCAATTTTACCAGACAGAACGAGTGAAAAATTTTCATGTACTATTTGGATTTTCTTCTATCTTTATATATTCAACATGCATAATTGATTATCATCTTCACATAAGTAGATGTTATTTCCTTAAATACTGCAATTTTTTTTTTTGTAGTCAGGATTTCTTCTCAGTAGAGCTATGAAAGAACGTGATATCCAGATTGCGTTCCGTAAGAGTAAGATAAAACCAGACACCAAATGGGAAGAGCAGTTGAAGCTCAACATTGAAAAAGCTTTTAAAGAAGAGCAGGAAAAAGCAGAAAAACAACACAGAGAAAGAATGGCTCTTGCTGAGGAGCATCTAAAACAGTACGTATGCATAAATTACCTGCTTTGTACCTTCCTCATTTTCTCATAATGGATATAACTGTATTTTGTAATTATGAAGAAGCACATGCTACCGTATGTAATAGAAAAAGGACAAAGAAAGAGGTTAAGACTCACGAGCACACCCGCACACAGAGACTGTGAGAGTCCACCCGTGGCTGACGGCCTGCTGGCGACAGGCGAGTAACGTACCAGCGACGCCACAGTTGCCCAGGAGGGGGATTTGACCAAGAACCATAAAAACACGCGTTGGAAAGAAACTGAGCAGAGTATCTGTCCATACTGCAAAGCTCTCGTTCCTTCCCTAGGTAAGTAAGCCTTTCTGTAGAAAGAGGCTGGCACACCTTGCTGAAGAATATGATGCAGCCTTTCCCTGAAGTTCGCTGTCTGGGGGAGGAGGGTAGAGAAATGGAAAACGTACATTTAGAATGTGATGATAAATGTTCTGGAAAATATATGTGGAAAATGTGTGGAAACCTGTGGAAATCCTGACAGTCGATCCCATCAGCTTTCCCCCCAGAGGGAAAATCATCATAGGGTCATTTGTACACACACACACACACACACACACACACACACACACACACCGTGAGATCATCTCGGGGAGGGCAGCAGGAGGAAAGCGGGCTCAGGTGACTTCCGCTGACTTCCGCTGTGTACAGATCTCAGCGCCGGCCTGGCTGGCACTGTAGTCCAGGCCACTAGGCCCAGCGTCAGCATCGAGCAGCCTCCCTGTCTCCATCTCAGTGTCTCACGCGTAGCTCAAATGTGAAACGTCTGGCACAGAGTCACTGCTTTTCCACGGTCCTGAGGACTTCCCACGGGCACCGTCAACCACCCAGCTCTGCAAACCGGACACCTCGAAATCCCCCTTGACTCCTCATTTTCCAGAATCTACCCTATCAGATCCATCAGGAATTCATTGTTTTTCCTCTCTGAAATGAATCTTGAGCTTACTTCTATCGTCTTAGTCCAGGCCACTTTCATATATTTTTGTTTGTTTGTTTGTGTTTTTTGTTTTCTTTTGTTTTTTGCAGTGCTGGGGATCCATCCACCTTTTAATTGGCCCCATATTCTTTCTTATTCCCCAGTCATGTTAGCTATTAACTACAGAGATACTGTTAAATTGAAAATTGATCATATTCTGGTGCCTTCACCACTTCGGTGGCTTCTCGTTCATTTAAAATAAAATGGGCGGGCGTGGTGGCACACAGTACTTGGGAGGCTGAGGCAGGAGGATCACCAGGAGTTTGAGACCAGCCTGGGTTACACAGTGAATTCAAGGCCAGCCTTAACTACATAGTGAGACCCTGTCTCAAAAAAAAAAAAAAAAAGAAGCTGGGTATGGTGCCATAAGTCTGTCTTCCTAGGGTTTGGGAGGCTGAGGCAGGACTGCCTTGAGTTTGAGGCCAACCTATGCTGTACAGCAGGACCCTGTCTTAAAAAAAAAAAAAAAAAGTGAAACAGAAACTCAGTCATGCCCGGAGGGCCGGTGTGATCTAGCCTCATCTCCTCTCAACCTCCTCTGCGCTCCTGCCCCTGGCTTATCATCGCCCAGCTCTCCCAGGACCTTGAGCACTGCTCCTTGCCACTGTGCTCCTTGCATACTTTTTCTCTGAGCCGGAACCTTATTCTCCTGTTCTCCATCTGTGGGCTTCTTCCTATCTCCAAGGGGCCTGCCCTGACTTACGGGGGAGCTCTGCTCAGAGTGAGCGAAACCATTCCGACATTATTTTCCTTAGCTTGCTTTCTTGTAACACCACAATGTGTAATTACACTGTCTGTTTCCTCTGTTTGCTATTGCCCATACACTCACTGGAAAGTAAGCTTCCTGAAGGCAGAAACTATTATCAGCGGCGCGTGAGAAACGACCCACAGGCTTTATGTGAGCAAAAGGCTGGACTTACGCTGGGCGCAGATAGGCTAAGATCGTGAATGATCTGGGCAGCTGGCTGGAGGAGGAGTAAAGTTTTTATAGGGTTTGGGGCTGGGGTTATAATCCCAAGGAATCTGGGTGACATGTTTAAGGGCAAAGTTCCCAGGGTGGTCAGTGCAGGTGTGCGGATAATATTGGACTTCCTGGCACCAGGGAAATCGTATGTCCTGCCCTAATTTTCTTTATGGCCATCTTCTGTTTGCTGAGGGCAGCGCGGCCCCTTCGTGGTTTCCTGTTGGTGGTGAGGGTGGCTTGTTTGCCGAGAGGGTCTCTCTCAGGTCAGGCCTGACAGGAACTGTCTGCTTTCATCATCAGAGCAGAAACTCAGGAAGTAGTTGTTCGGTCATTGAACATGAGGTCTACGGATTACAGAAGAGTTAAGTACGAATCTTAGATGTCTAGCATAGGCAACTGAAAAGATGGTGACCCTCTTCACCAAAATAAGAAAAAGAGACCAAAAAGACCAGATTAGAAGGGGAAGACGGTGCGTTCGGTTTTAGACATAGTGAGTATAAAGTACATGTGCGCTAGCCAGGCGGCGATGCCTAGTGTGTTGTCTCTGTAAGAATCGTCTGTCCTGTAACAAAGGGTGGGCTTCATTGTTTGTATCTGATTCCCAACTTCTCTTTAGGCTTCAACCCTGCCTTCCCCTTTGGCCCCTATCTGGACGAGCTGGTAAGGGCCCCGGAACTCAGTTCAGCTTCCCTTGATACTAGCCGGAAGTATAACTGCCCCCTACACAGAAACTTGCCCCAGGCCCATCCTTTAGCGAGAATGAAGACCCTAACCCTCCCCTTCTGCTGGACCTGAGCCCATCTAGCCCCTTCGGCACCAGCCGGCTCTGTCTGGGAGTCGTCCTGTAAGACTTCACAATTCTCTTGGTGGGTGGGGCGTTGTTAACCGTGACACTTGAACCAAATTTTGGGCAGCATTCCCTCCTGCTTTTACAAGAGGACTACCCCAGATCTATCTAAGCTTGAGAATAGTGTCTGGGCCCGACAGACACAGGTTTGGAATGGTCGTCAGGGCAGACATCTTTGGCTCTGGCTGGAGAGCTCATTGGTACAGACTGCCCGGTGCCCTAGGGTGGAAAAGGACCGGGACTCAGCAGGAAGCAGTTTTCAGGGCAAAGTGATTACTGATGCCTGCTCTGGGCATGGGAGTTGGAAGTAAGCTATGAATGTTATGTATTTCTTCTTTGAACCGGAGGACCTGAAATTGCCCTCAAATTGTTAACTTTGCAGTAAGACAAATTACCCACAATAGTAAAAGTCTTTATTAAGAGGAGATTAAAATTGTAATTATTCCAAATGTTATGCATATTACTGATATTTTTTCACTGACTCTGAGCTATTTTTGTAATTTTTGTTTTTCTTTTCTTTCCATTAAAAAAAATTGCTTTTTGTAGTATGGGGGATTGAACTCAGGGCCTTTGCACTGAGCTACATCCTCAGCCCTTTTTATTTCTCATTTTGAGACAGGGTCTTGCTGAGTCAGCAAGTTGGCCAGGCTGGGCTTGAACTTGCGATCATCATATGTGAGCTCCCCAGGGTGCAGGGATAACAGGTGTGCACCACCATCCCCAGCAGCACTTTCTATCTTATCCATGCACAGAATAGGCAAGATGTTTTGCTAAAATAAGGAATGATAGAGAGGATGCATGGATATAATGTTAGTTATGGATTTGCTAAATGTTAGAGTTGTACATTTTTTATATCTTGTCTTCCCTTAAAATGGCAATTTTAAAACTTCAAAAACTTATTTTCACAAAATTGAATATCTCTTTTTATAAATGCTTTAAATCTTGATTGCAATAAACTCTTGTGAGTTTATTATAATATTGATAGATCTAAAATATTAAACAATGTTAAATAAGAAAACAAGAAGTTGAAAACTTATTTTTTTAAGGACAATCATAAACCTGGTTGCTCTGAATGGATGTAGCGCTCCATACAGCGAGGACTCGCCTGCCTCGGACTTGGCTTCCCGAAGCATAGTCTTTCAATTTCCTCTCCCTGAAGCCGAGAGGACCATTCCTCAGCTGTCTGCTTAGGTTGTTGATTGCCCTGTGCCTGCCGGTGGAGGAAGACATCGGAAAGCTGGCAGGTTGCAGCGCCGGGCCTGGCTGCCAGGGCGCGTGGGTTCCCTCGGGCAGGAGGGGCCTTTGGGCGCGGACGTGGGGCTCCTGGGAGGGGCAGAGGCGATGGTGGAGGTCAGCCTCCCCGATGAAGGACTCGCACACAAGCCCCGAGAGCCAGCGTCTGGCGGGGACACCCGAGGCGGCAGCGGGCCGCAGGAGGGTGGCCGCAGAGCGGCCAGCGGGGTGAGGGGACCTGGGTCGCTCTCCCTCCATCCAGCGCGGCCTCTGAGGGCCCGGCCCTGGGCCCATGGAGCCCCGACCAGTGCCGCAGTTGGGAAGCACTGGAGCCTCGGTTCTTTTCTGTAAATAAGGTCACCATTCCCCCTTCCTGTCACTCAGCTAACTGCTTCTTTCTCAAGAAAGGGAACATGCAGAGCTTGTTTTGGTGACGAATGGAACAAATTTGGAAGCAGGGAAAGTACTGAGGATTCTAGATTTGTTTGGATTTATTCCAGTCACTGCTATTTAATGTCTGTTCTTTTCCCAGAGAAAAGCACAAGTTCTTCCTAAGCTTCGAATCATCCCACATTAAATCCGATTTATTTCTTTAAAGCATAACCGAGTTTTTCTGACTTGTTCTCGGTTACTGTTGCGTTTTTGCTTTAGAATAAAGGAACACGAAGAGGAAAAAGAAAAAAGGAAAAAGCTTGAAGAAAAAGATGCCGAGGAGATCAAGCGACAGAATTCACTGTATGAAATCGAAAGGAGAAAAAAGTTGAAAAAGAAAAAAGAAGAGATAGATGCAAGCAGGAAGCTGTTTTTTGTAAGTTTAAAATACAGAAGTTCGGGGCTGGGGATTTAGCTCAGCGGCAAAAGCGCTGCCTGGCAAGCGCAAGGTCGTGAGTTCGGTTCCTGGTACCGGAGAAAAACAAAAAACAAAAATACAGAAGTTCAAAAAGTGTATAAAGCCAAATGCCTAGCTTTCAATATCATAAAAAAAATAGTGGAGTAGAACACAAATCTCCATGCAGTCCTGAGGGAGCTGCTTGCTGTGGTTTTGTGTGTACGCTGTGAGTTCTCATGCAGGGAGGAAGAGGAGGAGTCTTCTTTCCAAATGAATTTTGTGGTCCTCAAAATGAGAGTGCTAAGAATTATGTTTGGTATCTGTTGTGCTATTAATATCTGTTTAGTAAGTGGTAATATTTTGTGACTGTTGCAGTTTATTTTGTAATTTTCATATTTTTCTTTAAAATTAGTTTTTATTCTTAAATAATCCATCCAGAGTGAAAACATCAAACTTCAAAACCCTTAGAGGAAGAATAGCAGTTCATTGCACCTTTCCTTCTGCTCCCTTTTTTTTTTTTTTTTTTTTGTACCAGGAATTGAACTCAGGACCTTGTACTTGACAGGCAGGCGTTTGTGCCACTGAGCTATATCCCCAACCCTCGCTCTGCTTCCCACACAAACCTATTTTCTAGTTCTTTTACCTGTTTCTCCTGGGAGAAAATTATACCCTAAGTTCATATTTCTTTCTCCCTCTCTCTCTCTGTGTGTATCTGTCTCATCACACACGCTAGACAAACGCTCTACCACTGAGTTATACCCCCTCAGGTCCTGTATGTATATTTTTAAAAATATATTTGGTTCTGAAAGCTATATATCTTGGTTTGTCAGTTTTAGAGATTTTTCTGCCTCTGCCCTGGTAGTTGAGGATTTAGCTCTTTTCCTTTACAGCCTTCTTCTTATCCCCCTTAATCCCCTCAGTAATTATCACAACTTTACTGAAGTCATTATGAGGCTTGTATAAATATTTTTCCCTGCCAAGCTGAGCAATATACTATGATTTTATGTCCTTGATTATGTAAATGTTTATTTTTCCACGGTTAGTATGAGTGTCTTTATTTTCTTTGTTTTTAGTTGCTTTGATGACCCTTTTCTTAACCCTTTTTTTGGTGATCAGTTTTGATGACTTCAGTTGTTCCATATTTTCTTTCATTGTACAAAGTCTCTGTGTGCATTGCAATAAATCACAAAATGGAACGTGTAACAAATCATTCAAAATAAGCACTTTTAACAGTTTAGTGTTTTTCTGTTGACCAGTTTACGGGCTGTGTGTGTGGAGGATTGAATACAGGACCTTTACACTGAGCTACATCCACAGCGTTTTCTTTGTTTCTTTCTTTTTTTTTTTTTTTAATTTTCTTTGTTTTTGGTCTTTTAGTTTGAGACACCATCTTACTAAGTCGCTAAGTTGCCCAGGCTGGGCTCAAACTGAAGCTCCTAGAGCTTCCTCACACTGAAGCTGCCTCAGCCTCCTCAGTGCTGAATTATAAGCGTGCATCACAACACCTGGTTGAGGGTGTGGGTTTTTAAAAGTAGCAGCCCAGAAAGCAGAGGAGTACCTGGGGGTGCTTGGCACGTAGCTGACTCTGAGTTTTAAATATATTGGAAAATTAAACGTTGCCCCTAACTTTTCTCTTAAATTAGTTTGTACTCACAGTTACAGAATAAATGACTATGTTGATATTCCCAGACTATGGTGTTCAAAGGCGCCCATTTTTATGGTCATAAACTCAGGCTGAGGTCATGGAATAGACGCTGATATGAACAGATTCTTATTTTTGTTTGAAGAAATAGTAACATACTTTAAAATTTTATGTTATAGCACTCATCCCTATTTTCTTCTACATATCTACAAAAAGAAGGTCTAGACAACAATCTAGTAGCAGTGACTGAGTCTGGTGGGGATCAGGAAGAGGTAGATAGTGAATGAAGCAGAAGAACACCTTACATCTATGTTAAAATATTTAAAATTTTGAACCAAGTGGCTCTATTAAGTATATAATATATTATTTCTTCTGGGTATTTATTTATTTATTTATGAGCGAGTTTTTGCTATGTAGCCCAGGCTGGTCCTGAACTCTCAATCCTGCTGCCTTAGCCTCTAGCCATGCACCAGCCACTACACCCTCCCAATCATGTATTTTTGATTGAGCTATTTGAAAAGAAATAAAAAGACATTAAGGTGTAAAAGTCACTCATTGCTGGGCATGGGGGCGCATGCCTGTAATCCCAGCACTCGGGAGGCTGAGGCAGGAGGATCGTCACAAGTTCGAGACCAGCCTGGGCTACAAAGTGAGCTCAAGGCCAGCCTGAACTGCATAGTGAGACCCTGTCTCAAAAAGACAAAAAACTAAAAACTAAAAATAAAAGTTACTCATTATCTCATACCCCAAGAGAAACATTTGGCATGTTTCTTCCAATCATACATATATTATAAATTTGTACTTATTTATAAAATTGGAACATATTGTAGTTTTTTATCATCTACTCTTCCCTTCCTGATTATTTCTATTTTTCCATGTCATTGAGATTATGACTTGTTTAACCATTATGTATTACTGAGCATTTAGAGGGTGTTTTCTTTTTTTTTTTGCTATCATAATTAGATTAAAATGAAGTACATGGTACTTAAACTTTTATCCACACATCTGATCATCTCAATGGGATACATTTCCCGGGAATGAATAACTGGGTCAGAAGCTATGGCCATTTGACAGCTTCTTGTTAGCTACTGATATGTTGAAAGATACTTTTCTTTGTCATGGAATAATGTACATTTATTTCCCCAAGGAACATATGTATGATAAAAACATCATCAAAGCTGTCGAACAGCAGCAGCAAGAGGAAGAAGATGAAAAGGTTCGAATATTTATCAAAGCAAAAAAGCGTCTGGCACAAATGAGGAGAGAAAAGGAAGCTGAAACGCACAGGTAGGACTTTGAGGACTTTTAATAACTTGTGTAATTAACAAAGTGCTGAGGCCAGGTCGGGGGTGGCACACGCCTGTAATCTCAGCACTTGGGAGGCTGAGGCAGGAGGATCACCGCAAGTTTGGGGCCAGCCTGAGCTACAAAGTGAGCTCAAGGCCAGCCTGAACTGCATTGTGAGACCCTGCCTCAAAAAGACAAAAATAAATAAATAAAATAAAGCACCGAGATTATTTTCTAATAAATCAGAAAGTATGAGAGTAGTTTTTAGGAATAGAAGTCTCAGGGCCAGGTATGGTGTCACACACCTGTAGTCCTAGCCCTCAGGAGTGAGGCAGGAGGATTGCTGTGAGTTCAAGGCCAGCCTGGGCTACAAAGTGAGTTCAAATCCAGCCTGAAAATTATTCCATTGAAATGATCAGATGTATAATTAAAGGCTTAGGCACCATGTACTTCATTTTAATTATGATAGCAAAAAAAGCCACCAACTCTCTAAATGTTCAGTATTACACAGTGGTTAAATAAGTCATGATCTCAATGACATGGAAAAATACAAATAATCAGTAAGTAGGGGAAAGAGTAGATTATAAAAATATTACAGGGCCAGGGATATAGCTTAGCAACAGAAGCGCCTACCTGGTAAGCGCAAGGTCCTGAGTTCGATTCATAGTACCAAAAAGAAAAAAGAAAAAAATTATAATATGTTCCAATTTTATAAATGTAAATGAGTTCAAATTTATAACATATGTACAATTGGAAGAAATGCATCAAATGTTAATAGTTCTCTTGGGGTATGAGATAATGAGTGACTTTTATTTATTTATTTGTTTATTTAGTCTTTTTGAGACAGGGTTTCGCTATGCAGTTCAGGCTGCCCTTGAGCTCACTCATAGTGAGACCCTGTCTCAAAAAGACAAAAAATAAAAAAGAAATAGCGGTCTCAGGCAGCCAGCAACGTGCTGATGTGCTGGGCTGGGCTGCCCAGTGTCTCTGGCAGGGGCTGCAAGTGCTCCCTGCTCTGCAGAGCTGCGAGTGGGGCAGGCTCGCTGGCCACACGTGTTACTGGAGCTGGGGAGACAGGTAAACTCAGAGCAGGGGGACTGGCGAAGAAATGAAGGTGGCCTACACCCTAGGGAACCCCACATTGCAAAGGAGAAAAAAGAAAATGACCACCAGAGAAGTGTCCTGAAGCAGCAGAGTGTCGGTAAGAAGGGAAGTGTCGCTGGGCCGGTCACGGGAAGAGCTGGGCCAGGCTGGAGGGTGCGGCCCTGGTGGGGGCCCTGCCCCACGTGCATGAGGCCCTGTGTCCCATTCCCAGCACCCACAGAGAAAGGAGAACAGGAAAAGGAAATGCAGGGATTAAATAAGGTTTCATAAATGCAGTGCCCTTCATACCAGAGGCCTCCTTCCGTAGCGAGCAGTGTGGGGTGGCTCGGGAGGGGAGGAGACCAGGATGCAGGACAGAGCGTTGCTCTCCTGCTTTTCTCTGGTGCCACATCCACTGCCCCACTGCTGAGTCTTGCAGTGGCCCGTAGGGCTCTGCACCTGCCCCGTCCCCTGCTGACCCCACTTGCATCTTTCCGACCGCATCTCTCACTGTATGCTCCTTTTCTGTCCTCTCACCTGCCCTGGGCTTCCCTGGGGAATGCTTAGCTCCAAAGACTGTGTATCTTGCTGCATTAAGTCTCAGAAATAGATTTTTTAAATTTTGTTTTTATTGTGGTTGTTTCATTTTGTTTTGACACAGGGTCTTGCTCTGTAGTTTAGGCTGGCATGGAACTCACAATGATCCTCCTGCCTCAGCCTCTCAAATGCTGGGATTACAAGTGTGCACCACCACACCTGGCTAACTCTTTCAAATGCTCAAATATTACTTTTCGTGGAGGCTTAAAATCACATCTTTTATAGAGCACTGGCCTAGCACAGCGAGGACCTGGGTTCAATCCCAAGTACAGCAAAAATCAAGCAATCGAATCACGTCCTTTAGATTAATAACTACAAAAACAAAAAAGAAGAAGAAAATCTACACTCTCATCCGCTTCTGCATCAGCTTTCTTTCCCTATAAACAAATGCCCGAGACAGTCAACTTAAAAGCGGAGTTTTATTTTGGCCTGAGCTTTGGAGGTGTCAGTTTGTGGTCAGTTGGCTCTTTGGCTTCGGGTGGGCGTGGGGGTGTTGGGAGCACATGGCCAGATGACAGGGAGCCAGAGAGGAAGGGCCAGGGTCCTCCCAGGGCACAGCCCGAGGGACCTGACTTCCCTCCCGAGGCCCAGACTGCGAAGTTCTGCACCTCCCATCAGCATGCTGTCCCCAGTCGCTGTCACTAAGGCCTTCACTGCTTAGCCAAGGTACTGTCTAGTTCTTTGTTTTATTTATGCGCCTCCTCCCAAGCCATAATGAAAGCTCTGTGAGGACAGAGATGTTTAATGTTTTGTTCAAGTGTTATATCCTTAGCACCTGCAGTAGGGCCTGGTGTGTAGTAAGCAGCCAGCAGTTAGGAAATCCTAGCTGAAACTGCACCCTCTCCACAGGCTTTCCTCCTTCCCCTCCTTGGTCTCCACCACTTCCTGGCCTTCCGAGCAGGTATCAGCTGTTGCTTTATACGGCTCTTTGCATAAATGTCTTTTGTCCACTTCGTAGTTCCCCTGGAGCATGCACCGATCCCTTGTGATCATTTCTCACATGCTGCTTTGCAAATTCACTCAATAAATTAGCGATTTGTCATAACTAAAATATTTTGTCCAGTTTCCTTCCCCTGTTCCTTTAACAAAATGCATCTACTGTTTATGATGTAACAGTCGCATACTTGGCTCTGGACAAAGAGAATCTATCTGGTCCTGACCTTGGGCCTCTCACAGTGCAAAGGGAATGAGACAATAAACAGATCAAGTCAACAAACTGCTATGAATACATTCCAGACAATGTATGATGAGAGGATTTAGATGACTTCTTTTTTCTGTGCTGGGATTGAAGCCAGGGGCCTCACACATGTGAGGCAAGCGCACGACCACTTAGCAACGTCTCTGACCCTGTATCTTGATAACTTTTATTAGTTATTTCCTAGGTTTTATGTAAAGAAAAGTCTTTTGTGGCACACGCCTGTAATCCCAGCACTTAGGAGGCTGAGGCAGGAAGATTGTTGTGAGTTTGAGACCAGCCTGAGCTACAAAGTGAGTTCAAGGCCAGCCTGAACTGCATAGCAAGACCCTGCCTCAAAAAGACCAAAAAAAAAAGACAAAAAGAAAAAAAAGAGAAAAAAAGAAAAGTCTTTTGTGGCTTAATCCTCCAGTGTTAAACAGGTAGTCTAATAATATTTAAAAAATTTTTTCAATGTGGAGAATTATACCTTTTTTCCTATACCTACATAATTATATGATACATGTTTTTCTCTATGGATTTTTAGAATATGCTACTTTATAGCTATAAAAGTTGCTTTCGCCACAAGTAATCCATGCATAAAGGGAACAATGAGTCTCTTTTTAGTTTTATAGGAGAGATAAAATATCTCAGACTCCCTAATTAAATTCCATTGGCTCCATTACAGATCTGTTCCTGCAGATTTGACAAGTATGGTTACTTTGTTATAGGTTAATGGAGGAACGGAGAGAAAAAATAAATAATTTCCTGAGTGAACTAATGAAAGAGAAACTTGATAATGCAGATTTGATTATTGCTAAAGATATTGCAGAAGCCGAAGCTGAATGGGAAAAAAAAGAAAAAGAAAAGCGTGAAAAAACCAAAGCGGATTTAAAAGCAATCGCAGAACACAGAGCCCTTATGGTAATCAATGAGGTTATGACAAATACAAATAGACAGACTTACGACTTTTCCACTCTGGTTTCTATCCCCGCTGTCTCCTTGACCCAAAACTAGCAAGTGTGAAAAACAAGCTATGAATTGTCTTTCTATCGTCCTGAAGTCAGACAGTGTTTACTTTCTAACAGATGACATGATAGTTGCTTACAAATGAGACATTTGTAAATGTAAATACTCCCGTTTCAGAACCATCTTAATATACAAATAATATTATTTAATGTGTTTTTTTCTTTTTGTGGTACTGATAATTAAACCTAGGCCCTTGTGTAAGCTTGGTCTTTCTAAGCTTCAAGGCTGGCCTTGAACTTGCTATCCTCCTGCCTCAGCCTCTCAAGTAGCTAGGACTACAGACATGCGCCACCATGACTGATGCAACATACTTTTCAAATAAATGTTTTACAGACTAACCAAATAAAAATCACCAAATAACATTTCTATGTTTCTTAATCTTTTAAAAAAATGTATCCCCTCCATGACTGCCATAACATTTACATTGGATAGCTTGTAAACATTGTCACCATTAAATTTTCACCTACAAATATCATCCTATGTTGAGAAGCCTGTAAGTTCTTTTTTTTTTTTTTTTTTGTTCCTACATTTTTTTCTTTGTTTTGCAGTACTGGGGTTGAACTCAGAGCTTTGCGTGTGCCATGCAAGTGCTCTACCACTGAGCTACATCCCGGCCTTTTTACAATTTTGATACAGGCTGTTGCCCATGCTGGCTTCAAATTTGCCATCTTCCTGCATCAGCCTCCCGAGTAACAGGGAGTATAAGCTCCTGCCACCAACCCCAGCTTGAGTTTTTTTAATCAATAGAGACCCGGCTATATCACTCCACTTAGATTTCTTTTGGGTGTTGCCTGATAATTCAAGAGAGTAAGTCATGTGGAACCAGTGTAGGTGCTTACACTTTTCTGCTGCTGCATTGCTCCCGGCTGACTTTCTGCTTGAAACTTTCTAACTGTTCTTTTTTAGTCAGAACTGGTTGCTAAAGCTAGTTTTAATCTTCCCTTTGCTTTTAAACATCTAGATGAAAAATAAAGAGGAAGAAGAAAGACAAAGGAAAATAGAAGCTAAACAACAATTGCTGGCTGTCATGAAAGCAGATCAAATTTTCATGGAGCAGGAAAAGGAGAAGAAACGCAAAGCTGATATAGAACGCCGAGAAGTTCAAGATGCCCATATTCGACAGATGGTAATAATTCCTGATGTTTACCTCTATTTCAGGGATAAATGTGGAGTAGAGAATTTGCACTAGTTTTTTGCCTTCCATGCAGTTTCTTTTGTTGGGTAAGAATAGCGGTCATTATGTTTATGATACTGCATAACATGTCAAAAATGTGAATTTTCTTCTTTTTAATCTGCATTGTGGTTCCCATACTAGGCCTTTCTTTTACACAAATGTTTATTCTTTAGTTTCTATTGTGTTAGTAAATATTTTTAAAAATGCAGATATATGTGATAGGCTATACCTATCATCTTCTTGGTTTTGCTTTTTCCCTTTGTTGCTATATCCAAGACCATGTTGACGGGGACCTCATGGATTTTGGTTTGGAGGGGAATGGAGGGGGTTGTAGGCAGCAGAGGAGCTGGCATCCAGTCATTTCTGACTAAACGCTGTTTTCCAAAATGGTGATACCAGTTGAGTGTGGTGGCTCACACCTGTAATCCCAGCACTCAGGAGGCTGAGGCAGGAGGATTGTTTCAAGCTTGAGGCCAACCTGGGCTACAAAGTGAGCTCAAGGCCAGGATGAACTGCATAGCGAGACCCTGTCTCAAAAAGACAAACAAAACAAAACAGTGATACCGTTTTCCGTTCCTATCAGCAGTGACCAGAAGCACAAGCTGCTGTACATCCTTACCAATGCTTGCTACTGACACCCTGTAACATTAGCTTTCCTAACGTGGGGTGTGCTTTCCTTTGCATTTCCGTGATGACTGAAGATGATGAAGATCTTTTTGGGTCCTGGTTAGCATTTGTATGAATTCTTTATAAGATGTCAGTTTAAACTTATTGCCAATTACTTAATTGGGTTGTTTTTGGTGGTGGTGCTTTTTGTTTTGGGTACCGGAAATCGAACTCAGGGCCTTGCACTTGCCAGGCAGGCACAGTGCTGCTGGGCTATATCCCCAGCCCCTTTTTGGATTATTTTGACTATTGTGAGCAATGCTTCTGTGAACAGTGACATACAGGTATCTATTTAAGTCCCTGCAGTTGGTTCTTGTGCTTCTGCAGAGTGGAATCACGGAATCCGATGTTAATTCTGTGTTTAGTATGTGGTGGAACCACCGTACTTTTTCACAGTAGCTGCACCATTTTATAAAACGTCCCACTGACAGCACACAAGGGTTCCATTTCCTCCCAACGGCACTTGAAAGTGGTGTCTCGGTTCGGCTTTAAATTGGGATGCGGAGCATCTTTTCATGTACTAATTGCAAGTTAAACCAATTTATTAAGAGCTGGCACATTTTGCCAATACAGTTATCATTCTTTTGGCAGTAACATCCATCATGTCTTCTTAACTATATTTTCTCTAAGTTATCTTTCTACCAGTATATTCTACTCAAAATAAAACTACAAAGATAGGGGTATCTGCTGAGCATGGTGACACACTCCAGTAATCTCAGCACTTGGGAAGGTTTTTTTTTTTTTTTTTTTCGTTTTTCTCCGGTACCGGGAACCGAACTCACGACCTTGCGCTTGCCAGGCAGGTGCTTTGCCGCTGAGCTAAATCCCCAGCCCCTACTTGGGAAGTTGATGCAGGAGGATTGTTGCCAGTTTGAGGCCAGCCTGGGCTACATAGTGAACTCAAGGCCAGCCTGTATTATACAGTGAGACCTTGTATCAGAAAAAGGAAAGGGCTGGGGATGTAGCTTAGTGGTACGGTACTTGCCCAGTATGTGCAAGGCCCCAGGTTCAGTCCCTAGCACTGAAAAAAATAGAGTAATCCCAGGCAGGCTCTTCTTGTCCCATAACACAACCCAGGGCGCTGGGTGCAGTGGTGCATGCCTGTAATGCAGCACTCCGGAGGCCAAGGCCAGGAGGATGGCTGTGTTTGAGGCCATCCTGGGCTACATGGTAAGATCGTCTTAACAAAACAACACACGCTGCTTGGCAAGCACAAAATCCTGTGTTTGATTCTCGGTACCAAAAAAAACAAACCACAACAACAACACACGAAACAAAACAGGGCTTTCAGTGTTCCTGAGCCTTTGGAAGTGGTGCTTGTGTGTTTCTTCTTCAGTGAAATGTTTGTTTGGTCCCTATTTTTGAGTTGGGTTGCTCTTACTTGTTGGGATTTAGTTCTTTTACATTCTGAATATTAATCTCTTAATAGAAGTATGGTTTGCAGATGTTTTCCCCCTCCTGTAGGGCGCCTTTCACTCTTTTGATAGTATCTTGGGTGCACAAAAAAGGTTTTAATGTTCATCAATCCATTTTGTCTTCTTCCTTTTGTTTTTCATCTTATGCTTTTGATGTCGTACCTAAGACATCATTTGGAAAGCTAATGTTGGGCTGGGGGTACACCTCAGTGGCACAAAGTTCGATTCTTGGTACAAAAAAAAAAAAGCTAATGTCATGAAGCCTTTTCCTATGTGTTTTGTTCTGAGACTTTTATAGTTTTAGCTTTTAAGCTTTATATCTTTGAAACATTTGGAGTTAATTTTACAACCTTTTAGGTGAAAGTTCAGCTGCATGCTTTTGCACGTGGATATCCGGATCTCCCAGCACCATTTGTTGGACTCCTTTTTTTCCTTGTTGAACCAATTCAACAACCAGCACATATGCCTTACTTGAACTGTTTAACTCAGTAGTAAAAAAATTTGCTATTTCACATTTATGTGGTTGCTTGAGTCTGTCATAAATTTCAGTTCATTGAAGATATTAGGTTTAGGATACTATTTTGTACTGGAGTTTTGGGTTTTTAAAAATATTTTCATGGATATAAATATGTTCGTATGTAGATGAATTTATTTTTATAAACTTAAGTGTTTTTTTGTTTGTTTTTTGAGGCAGGGTCTTCCCAGGAAGTTCAGGCTAGCCCTGAACTCACTGAATTACCCAGGCCGGCCTTAAACTCAAGGGTACTACTCCTGCCTCAGCCTCCTGAGTGCTGGGATTACAGGTGTGCACCACCATGGCCAGCATTATTTCTTAAAATGCTGTAGAAAAGACAAAATGAAAAGTTGCTAACCATTTTTTCACAGAAAAGGCATTAAAACTACTTCATCCAAAGCAAATTAATAACTTTTATAAGACAAGAATTTTATAAAATATTGGTAAATTGGCCTTTGGCAAATTGCCTGTTTATTCCACTAAATCCCTCATCAAACTTACTCATTGTTCCAACTTTAAATCCTTGGAAGACAGGACATAATTAGCTTAATTACAAGTTACAAATTTAATTACAAATTAAAATTACAAATATTCACTGATATTTGATCTTACTGGCTGGGGCATATTGGACTGACATGAGACAGCACAGCTGAGCAGATGTGCCTTTTTAACTGCCAAAAGGGCCTGTCTCGTAATGGCTACAACAGGGTTCTAAACTTACGTGTTTTTATCTGAATTTCATACTTTTAACTATTTTGTTATATCATCTGTTTAAAGATGTATCACATAAGGCTATCAGGTAAGTCTGGAGTCACACTTCATGCAGCATACTATTCTAGAATCAATGGGAGTTTCTGAAATAAACCATAACATTATAGCATATAGTTCTCAAATCTGAATTTGTAAATTATCAACCAGGGCAGAAAATTATACCTTCTTTTGGAGATAAATTCTTGCTAATTTGCTAAACTGCCCAGGCTGAGTTTGAACTTGTGATCTTTCTGCTTTAGCCTCCCAATGGTGGGATTATAGGTGTGAGCCACTATGCCCACCTATACCTACATTTTCAAATGCTACATATATTTACAAAGATAATGTTCTTATCCAATACTAAATTGTATTTCATTTCTTTCCCAAATAGGCCAAAAATAAATTTAATGCACAACAAGCAAGAGAAGCAGAATTAGAGTATTGCAGACGTACTGAAACTCTTGCAGCTGAAAAGGAGAAAGAATTTCAGGATTATGCCACAGCAGTGATTGACCTTGAATCTGAATCAACAAGTAAATATATTTACCCTCTTGTAAAAGCTGTACAGGAAGGACCTGGAGGTGGTCGTGGACCAGCTTTGGTGGACAGAGGTGGATTAAGACCAAGCTATCAAGCGAATGATTTTACTGGAGTCCAGCTCCCTTTTTATAATTCTCAGGGATTGAAGTATAATAATTTACAGAAGTCGAAGGGAAGGCTAGGTTTTACGTGGTAGAAAATTTTACATATAGAAAAGACTATGGTTGTAGGAAACACGAGCTACAAAAGTAATATACTGTGCTAATAAAGCTGCTTTTCATCTCAGTACACTTATTCCTGATTTTCTTCATGATTTCAACCCCACCGTTAGCTGATTCAGTTCCCTTTTTTTTACTGTAAATACATGAGGGCAAATTTTACTCAAAATGTGCACTTTGGTATCAAGTGCATTCACAATATTGTGCAGCTATGCCTATGTATTGCCCCGAACGGAACCATGCACCCATTAAGCAATCACTCCCCAGCCTCCTGCAACCACTCATCTGCGTTGTCTCCACGGATTTGTCTAGTCTGTGTATTTCATATAAACGGGATCCTATCACTGGTTTGGTGTCTGGCTTATTTTAGTGCATTTTCTAGGTTCATCCATGTTGCACAATGTACTGTAATCATACTTTATTCCCTTTCCATATTTCCTTCCACAGCAAAAATTCATATGCTTGTTTCCTGTCCTTCAGTACTTAAAAATCAGTTATAACGGATGTTATTACTAACAGTAAGATTACTGACTTCTTTGTGGTTTACTTCATAGAGCGTATCTCACTAGATGTGTTCGAAGTACTGTTTGAAGTCACCTAAAACAATTCTAGTTTTGCCACCAACTTGATTCAGTAAGTCTTAATGAGTCGCATTTGCCTGCTTCACAGATGTGTGTCCGTGTTAACTGCCTTTAATGTTAACTACATTCACACTGGTGGAAGGTTGTCACCCTGTGCAACGGGAACTCCAAACACGCTAAGCACGACTACTCCCTACTTCCCCCTTCCCTCTACTTTTGGCCATCACCATTCTGTTTCTAAAATCCTGACCACTGTACATACCTCATATAAGTGGACTCACAACTTTTTTGCTAACTGTTTTACTTTGCATAATGACCTCTAGTTTCATCCAGCATGGGATGTGCATTTCTTAAGACTGAATAAAATTCCACTGTGTTGTGTGTTTTTCTATATATTTATCCATTCCTTTTTGTAATGGGCCTTGGATTCCTTCCACCTCTTAGCCATCATGAGTAATGCTGTTGTGAACATGGGTATACAAATTACTCTTTGAGATGCTATTCTTTTTGGATATACACCCCGAGTGGAACTGCTGAATCACATAATTCTACTTAAAATTTAGGACTTTTTTTTTTTGCATTGGATCCAGGGCCTCACACTGGCCAGGGAGGTACTATGCCACTGAGCAAAATCCCCCGCCCTCTACTGTTTTTTATAGCAACTGCACCATTTTACATGCTCTCCAACACTTAGCAGCCAGCCTAAGTTGTGAAGTTTCAACTTGTATTTCACTAATGATTAGTGATGCTGAAGATGAGGTGGCAGGCATGGGGATTGAACCCAGGGCTCTGCGCATACAATACTAAATTATACCTACTTTTAATGTCTACTCAGGGCCTGTTAAGTTTTTTCTCTCCCATCCCAGGGCCTTTGCACCAAGCTGCCAGCCCCAGCCCCCTCCTGATTTTTTTTTGAAATTCTGAGACATAGTCTTAAGTCACTGATTTATGCAAGGCGGGTTTACAACTTTTAGATCCTGCCTCAGCCTCCCAAGTACTGGGTACAAGTGTACACTGCCATGTGTTGTAGTTCCAATATATTCTTATCAAGAAGTGATTTACAAGGCTGGGTGTGGTGGTGCATGCCTATAATCCCAGTACTGTACTAGTGAGGCTGAGGCAGGAGGATAGCTGTTAGTTCGAGGCCAGCCTGAGCGACAAAGTTCAAAGGCAGCCCTGAATAGTGAAACCCTATCTCAGAAAGACAATTAAAAAAAAAAGGGAAATGACTTACAAGTGTTTTTCACTCCTTAGCTTGCCTTTTCTTTCGTCTGTTCTTTTTAAAAGCAAGCATGTGCAGTACCTTACTCTTACACAGAACCATTTTAATAGCTTTTAGACCCTTAATTCCTTTTCCAGCTGGCAGAGTATTTTTGCACGGGCAAACCTGTTAACCAGATACAAACAGGTATTTGGGTAGTTTTTAGTGCTACAAATTTCTGTAATTAGCAGCTTTCATGTTCTTCACAGGGTGCCTCTCAGACAAATAGGAATGCTGGGTGAAGGCATAAATTATACAGGGTATGAGACCAAAACTGAAAAAAAAGTTTTGATGTCATAATCCTCTAGGAATGTGAACTTACTGCTTCTTCCGCACTGATACATCCTAAACTCTGCATGTAGCATGTGCTTTAGTTAGGTGAACTATTTAAATGTTAGGTATTACTTAGGGACACCATGTTGATACTGGAATGCACGAGGCAATGTGAACAAAGTCTGCAAACCTGCCATACAGCCTTTCCTTTAAATTTTTCTAAAAGTATAGCTTATTTAGTGATGATTCCTAATTTTAGAGAGGTATAGCTCTGTGGTAGATCACTTGCCTAGCATGCATGAGGCCCTGGGTTCAATAGTACCATCACCAAAAAGAAAAAAAAAGTAATTTTAGTTAAAAACAATCTTGACAGTGTAAAACAAAGTTTTCTACAAAAAACTAGATATTCGTCATTTAATGACAGTTCTGACTCAGAACTGAGGCATGTGATTTGGATTTATAGCCCATTGCTCAGACTTATGACCTCTTTTCTTCATACAGTTTTGTGTATCTTGTTTACAGAGTCTCAACTATTTTTTTTTTTTTGCACAGAACACCTTTGCCTATACAGTATTATAGTTTTTGCTGATAGTATTGTACAGCATACTAGTTTTAAAATGTTATGCATTACAGTACTGCATGTTGTTATACAAATAAAGGGAAGTCATCAAGTTGGGAATTTTCCTTGAACATTACTTTGTTCTGAATATTGTAATGTACCCACAACACGCAGTTCCTCATTTAGAATCAAGTTAACACACCAGTTGTAGAACCTGGTTATTAAATGAGGTATGTCTGTAGCAAATCACATAAAACAGATGTATAGCCAACTTATGCTGAATGAATGATCAGCTCTACTAGTTTTTCTGCCATACATACAATTTATTTTACTTTCAATTGGGCTGGACTTTTAGAATACAAGAGTACATGACTAGAGGACATTATGAGGTTATGTAAATCACAAGACAATTAGTGAAAAACTAGTACAGTTTACAAATGGCAGTAATTTGAAGAGAAATTGATATGAATTTAAACCAAAGCATTCCGAGCACTGAGAAGGGGGTAATGTAAACGTTATGAACTGGCACTTAGAAAGGTAGTGTATTAAGTAAGGGAGTGAAGCCTAGAGTAAAAAAGCTTAGCGCAGTGGTGCATGCCTGTGATCCCAGCTGTTCAGAAGGCTTGTGAAGATCCTGAGTTCAAGGTCAGCAGGGGCAAGAGCCAGAAACCCCATCTTTAAAAAAATGAAGTACAGAAAATAAGAGCAAATTATTGCTGAAAGTGCTTTAATACACAGTTGGCACAATTTATATATGTAGCACTCATATTTTACATATTCTGGTTAAAGCATTTAAAAACACTGTAGATCTTGAGTTTTAATAATATCGACCTGTTAACACACAAACCACTGAATGTTCAGGAATGTTTTTATCTATGCATGTTTTCAATTACTCTCAAGTTAACTAGGTTCATTTTTCCTAAACATGTTTAAATTAAGTAAAAATAAAACCAAGCAAATAAACAAAACCCAGACATTTTGTTTTACAAAAATTATTTTTTTGGCTTTACAATAGCATTATATTAAAAGGATAAGCCCAGGATATACTGCAGTAGTCCTAATGGTGAGAAATCGGGAGGAAATGAAAATGGTAGTAGCATTCTAGTAAACTGTAATGCAAGTTCCAAGTTTCACTTTGTAAGTTTGCTGGCAGGTACAAATTCCCTATGATGAATGTGATCATTATGTATATCTAAAATGTACCAATAAACTTAACTAATTAAAAACAATAAAAGGATATGGAAGACAAAGTTTGCTGGGACAAAAGACACAATGCAAACAGAAACATGATTAAACATTTACACTAGAATTTACTCCCAAACCTGGGTAACATCACTGCTGGCTTAATTCCTTTTTTTTTCAAACAGGGTCTTGTTATGTAGTTCAGCTGGACTTGAACTCACTATGTAGCCCAGGCTGGCCTTGAACTCATGGAGAGCCTCCTGCTTCAGCCTCCCAAGCGCTAGGACTACAAGCATGTGCCACCACACTGGCTCTAAATTCTTTAAAAAGCTTAATCTTGTTAAACTTTGGTTTTCTCACAATACAAATAATTTGTATTTCCACGGGTTAAATGCAAGTGCATTTCAGTTGGTTTATTTTCATTATTTAGCTTTTAATGAAAAAAGGTCAAGTAACTAATAAAATAATTTAAAAAATACAAAACCCAACTGTTTGTTATAGTATAGTTTATTTAATACAATGTTTAACTATAAAAGTTAATACAGTTTTGAAGTTTAAATTTTGTAAAATGCAGTTTGCAGAAAACAGTTCAACAGTTACTAACTAATGATAGGAGAAGCAGCATTTTGAAACTAATTATACAATCGAGGACAACAATTTTATTTCTAAATTTCATTAAAAAAATATACATCACAGTGACTTCTGAGCTAGGAAAAGAAGTGCAGTAACTTCCTTGTTTGCCCCTTTCACAAAAGCAGCCACAACTTTGAATATGTCCACACACAGAAATACTCAATTCATTTATCAGTCTTTGAAAATACTATGAACACACAGAGGAGGAACAAAATATACTGCATGTGCTTTTGGTAACATGTAATTTGCTTTAATGGGGGCAGAAACACAAATCAAGCTCACCATTCCCTTCCACACCTAAAACCAGAAAAACCTTCAACTCTCTCCTCCAACCCTGCTAACGGAATTCTTTTCATGTGATCTGTAATTTTCCTTTCCTTTAATATTTACTTCTTTGTCACACAACAGGCCAGAGTTTGCCCCACCTGAATCCCTTAAAGGCAGCTGGGAAGCCCACTGCTGCAGGTGTGTCATCCAACACTGCACTTCCTGGGGCATTTTTTCCCCACAAACAAGTATTTGTAATAAAACACAAATTTTCACAATAAAACAGTTTATCAACCTGCAATCCATGGAGAATTTATTCAACTGTAAATGTATGAATCCTAAGAGAATAACTATAGCAAACATAAGCAAAACAAGACAGAAAAATATCCATTTTGTCTTACCAATTAGCTATACGGTATATATTTAATGTACCTTCTAGTGAAGGCAAGCCCAAAAAGTTTCTACAGAAATTTACAAAAAAGCTCAAGCGTGATGAAAATTACCACCTAGAGCAAAGTACAACTACTAAAAAACATACTAAACTGCTCCAAAAACTAACTAGAAAATAAATTATAATCATTTATCACTATTTCCCAAAATACTAGAAACCCAATCGGTGCCTGTCTGTAACATAACAAAATCTTGCTTTAGTTTCACACCTTCCACTGGGCACAAGAACCAAAGGCCATTCAGCAAACCCAACAAGCGTCAGCAGCAGTGCAGAGAGTTGCTGAGCTCTTTGCAGTTTCTGAGGCTTCAATCAGTTAGATGCTACCTAACCTCTGAACTTGCCAACTATGGAGTAATTAAAAATTCTTTTAAACAACCCAGTGCTTTTTCCAATATTCATTAATCTTTCTCTAGTTCCAGCTTCTGGGGCAGATGACTTACACAGAAAGAAAAACTCACATAATAATCCTAAAAACTCTATATATTGAATTTTTTGCAGCTATCACCCATCAAGCAATAAAAAATGAAAATATCTACTAAAGAACATTAAGTCAAAGACATGTATGAGCTATAAATTTGGATGTACTTACAAGAATCAGCATGATGGGGAAAATGGCTGATATCCAGGCAGACAGACAAGGTCCAAAGCAAACACTAAAGATGGCACGACTAAGAGTAACACAAGGAAAGGACCCTTGCGCCTTGCGCTGTTCAGATGCAAGTGTACACGCTGAAGTACAATTAGATCTGTCTAGTCATGTTCTAAATTTTTTTGTACTCTGAAAATAAAATGTAGTTGATTGTCCTTTCTCATCTCAGCTCCTTCGGATATGTTCTGTGAAAACAGCTAGCAAAGCTTTTTTAAAAAGGTCCCTGTATATAACGCTTAGCATGGAGTTGTTCTTTTGGTAACTCCAAAAGGACAACACCTGCGTATGAATTACTTTTCCTCCCTATGGCTACTTTTTGAAACTCAAAATCTGGAAAGTACTTGTCAATATTCTTAACAGATAAAGCTCTGGGATCTTACCACAGACTTTAAAAAATATGTATGTGTTATCAGAAATTCTGTCAAGTAGTCCCTGTCTTAAAGCACATACAATCTGAAAGATTTTAAAAGTCAATTTACTGAATTTTTAAGACAACAACTTAAAACATACAACAGATCATACAGCTTGGATTCTCAGACTCAGTAATTCTTAATGTGGATTTGTAGTCAGTTCTTAAGGAATCACCCTGAATTATAATAAACATCTACTACTTTTATCACTAGGAAATAAAATTTGGAAAAAAATCCACTTCAGATATTTGTTTCAAGGTATTTCAAACAAACTTATCATTATACTATTCTGCAACAGCTACACTGCCAAATGATTATTAATATATTAGTCAACAATGGGAAGGATTATGCTAAGCATCACTTTATTCAGTACAAATAGCACTGGGTAGCTAATGAAGTTATCAAGAACCTACCTTGGTAATAAAGTTAACACTATACTGACAAATATTAAAGTACAAAACTCTAGTCCACTATTGATTGGAATTTTGAAATTTCTTTTAAAATGAGGCAGGTTTTGTGTTTGCTGTATGTTCAATGTTTATTCAGAAGAGAGGATACAGAATAAAAGGCCACAAATCACAAAAATGGCAAAATACAACACAAAAAATTCTGAATAGCCTTTGGATATGTTCAGTGTTTAACTCTGAGAGCTACCAAATTTTGCAACTTTCTATTTTACTCTACATGGCAATGTTACACATGCCGAGTTAAAATAATGTTAATGGTAATGGTGTAAAGCCATAAAGCCACCTGAATAGAAAGAAACCAGAGTCATAAACATGCTATATAGCCTATCATCATACACTTATAGAAAAGATGCTTTTTTTTTGTTTTTGCCATTTGAAACTCACAGCTATGAGAAAGAAGATACTTCAAGTTTAAAAAAACAAAAACCATGCAGAGTTAACACTCAATGCTATATAGGTTGGTGGCCAAAAAAGAGAAATCTTAGAAGTTAATGCATCAACACTAACATTTTTAGAATCTGTCTAGCTTTAGGACTTGGAGAAGTTGTATGTTTTATTGAGAACTTTTTTTTAATTTTAGGAAAAGAAAGTAAAATAATAATGTTCTCATTAAACAATAATTTCAACTCTTCAGACCAAAACAAACAAAAAATTGAGAATTACAATCTGATCTTCCTGTAAAATGCTGTATAACAGCAATTCAAGCTCAATCAGCACATCAACCAAAAAAAATTCTCAAGATTTTTATATAGAAAGGTAAGTAAAACACAATTAGACAGAAAAATATTATGAAGAGGGTATGAAACACAAGACAAATAACTAAATTTTTATCTATCTTAAAGCACAAATCACTATAAAATCAAAAGTGATGACTTAAGATCTCAAATGATTAGGACCCTACTTTCATGTAATCAAAATAAATTGCTACAAGCCTCTACTATAAATTCAAAATCTACACAAAATATCCTCTAGCGTCTAGTTACTTTAATCTGAAGAAACACAAGCTTTTGAAACAATTAAGTGCAACCATCACTTATGCTTGTTTCCAAATGGCTGATTAAACAAATCAGGATGCTGCTGACTGTTGCAACACAAAAATGCATACATAAAATAGTTCAACACAGCACACAATGTTACACCAAAATGTTTTTCTCATTTCAAGTTTATTAAAACTTTAGCAGTACAAATTATCCAGTACAAATTATCCAGGTTGCAGATTATCAAAAGATCAACTCAATGAAGTCCACATTAAAAAAAAAAAAACAAAACCAAAAAAAGACATAAAATAACCCAAAAAAACAATGAAAACAACATAAAGGATATTCACCAGCCAAGTCTCTAAAACTTAAATTTTGAGACAGAAAGGAAATAAATTTACACAACTCACTCATCCACTTTTGTCTTCATCTGTTCCAGGGCTTGATTCATGATCAAATTTTTTGTTTTTATCATGTACATGGTCATTTTCTTGAGACTTTGATTTTTGGTTTTCATTTTCCACTGAGGATCTGGTCTTCTCATCCTCCTTATTTTTCAATGTGGAAGATTTTAATTCACTGTCTTGGCTGTTCTGCTTTATTTTTGAGAATGGACTTTGATCTCTATCAGCCTTTTTTTCCCTGTTACTATTTGAGCTATTATGATCACGATTTTTAGAGTACATTCTTTTTTCACCCTCAGAATTTTCTTTTCTGTGTGAGCTCTTACTTTCTTGGTTTCTATGTTTGTCCTTGTTTCTGCTTTGACTTTCTTCTCTCTCTGAGCTCCGAGAATCTCTCCTCCTCCTCCTCCTATCTTTACTTCTCGATCTTCCTGGTGTTCCTCTTCTGTCTCGGCTTCGTGACCTTCCTCTTCTCCTGTACTCCTCTCTGTGTCTATGGTATTCCTTGCTTCTGCTGCGATCTCTGTCATGGCTTCTGGATCGCACTCTTCTGCTCCGGTCCCTACTTCTGCTCCGTTCCCTTGTTCTACTATTGTAACTGTGTTTACCTTTAGTCACATCACGTTCTCTACTCCTGGACTGTGCACGTCTATCCTTTTCTTTACTTTTACTATGATCGTGCTCATTACTTTTGGATTCTATTTGCTTAGACTTCTCTTTACTTCTGCTCCTTTCCTGGTCTTTTCCTTTAGAATCAGGTTGCTTTTCTTTTTCTTTAACATTCTCATGATCCCTTTCTTTGCTCCTTGACCTCAACCTCTTCTCCTCATGTCTGTTGTGTTTTGAATCTCTTTCCTTACTCTTTGATTTCTCTTTGCTCTTACTTCTACTTTTAGATTTGGCCCTTTTCTTCACTTTGTTTTTATTATATTTTTCTTCTTTTTCTGAATTTCTTCTGATTTCTCTCTCTTTGCTGTCAGATTTATGGTCTTTAGCTTTCTTTTCCTTTTCATTTTTTCTGTTTGGACTTTCAGACACATGCCTGTGATCAGTTATTTTTCTCTCTTTTACTCTAACTGGGCTCCTTTGATTTTCTTTCATTTCATTCAATTCACTCCTAAAAATAAGGGGAAAATGGATTTTTGGAAATGTTGTTAGTCTACAGAAATAATACAGCTATCTGTAAAATAACTTTATGTATAACAATTAAAATACTTATCACTACATTTGAAACCATAGTTGATCTTACTTATCCCCTTTGATCCATCTTTCACCACTTGATACCCTCATTCGTTGAGCTCTCTGCATCTCCTGCCTCCAATGTGGAGGAGTCTCACTACGTCTGAAACGATCCCTTGATCTGGATCTGGAAGGAGTTCGATAACGCTTAAGAAGGTAAGAAAGGGAAAAAAATTAACATATAAAAATTTAAAAACAATACAATAGCAAAAGCATATATATTTATAGGTTTAAAAATGGCATTTCTGTGTCCTCTGCTGGGAGGTGTGGCTCAGTGGTAGATCATAAGCTTGCTATGAATGAGGACCTTTGATACCCAGGACCAATTATTAACTGATCAATAAACAAACAAAATTACTAAAATCCCCTGTCTTTCAGGTAGGAAATCAATACAACAGAGAAACTTTAGTCACGCTGTAAAGTCCAAGTAAGAAACATAAACCACAGAAATTCTAGGACCACATATTCCTACAGAAGACTCCTACTCTAAGGAAAGTTAGTGCACAGTAGGTATATAAATTCTCACAAGTTGCCAAGTTCCAATCTGCATGTTATTTATACATTTGCTTGATGTTTCGAAGCAAATTATCATGAGAAAAACAGAGTAAGCATAGATGTTCATTTATTCAACCAATATTTACTTAGCCCTTAGGATGGCTAACCACTCTATCACACCAAAGATAACAGCAAGCCAAAACTGTAACAGAATGTGCATAAAAAGAAAAAAGGTGCTCAAAGAATAAGTAACAAAGAGCCCTGACTTAATAAAGACTGTGATCAATTAAAATAATAAAAACTGGAAAGGGGGGGTAAGGATAGAATGAGGAAAAACATGTAAAGCATAACACATATGACATTAAAGGCTCTGAGACAGAAACAGCATGTTTTAGAAATGATCAAAAGACAAGTCAACTACAGCTAAATCTAAAAACTGCAAGGGAAAAAACAACTAGATAATAGTGATGACACAATCCAGGACGGGTCTTACAGTCCACAGTAATAATTATGGATTTTGCCGGGAACAGTGGTACACAGCTCGAATACCAACCATGGGAGAATCTCAAGTTTAAGCACAGCCCATACAACTTAGGCAAACCCTGTCTCAAGATCTTTTTTTTTAAAAAAGGGAGGTAAAGATGTAGTGCAGTGTGAAGGCTCTGGGTTCAACTCTCAGTGCTGCAAAATAATTTGAAAAATCAAAAAGGATTTATCTTAAGATCAATGGTAAGGGAGTAACATAATCAGGTTTCATTTTTACTACTTTGGCTATTATTAGGAAAAAGAATGCACTTAGTGATTCTCAAAGTGTGACCTAAAGTTCTCAAGACAAAGGGAAACCAATTAGTCAAAATTATTTTCATAACTTACTATTTCCATTTTTAACTTTTGTCCTGTCATGATCATACAGCAGAGTTATACAGAGACTATATAGCATATTTTGATGTCATTGTTTTCTTATGTACTAAAATGTATGCTTATATATTTTTGTGACAGAAATAGTCCTTAGTTTTAACTTCTAAAACAGTACAAATTCTATCAACAAAAGCTCTTCTGAGCCCTCAAAAAAATCACACACACACACGGTTGATCTTAGGACTTCCACATGCTAGGCAAGTGCTCTACACCATTGAACCACATTCTCACCCCTTTTCAAAACTGTTCTTCTTTTGAGATAGGGTCTTACAGTTGCCAAGGCTGCTCCCAAATTTGCAAGCCTCAGGCTCTCAAGCAGGAGATTATAGATTTGTGCCACAGTGCTAAGCTACAAAAATTTAACAATGTAAAGCAGTATGGAAATAAATGTTTGAGGGCTACCAAAATACAAGTTAGGGAACTATTTAATTCTGAGACACTATGATGATCATTTGACTGAACAAGGTGGGAGCGAAGCTTGAAAATAGTTTTCAGTGTACTGAGGAGGCAGAACTGATAGGATTTGGGGATGGGTAAGGTATATATGAATAAAAGGGAAGAAGTAAAATGATTCTTGGGCTTTAGGTTTAAGGAACTGTACAGGTAGCAATGCCAGTCACTGGGGCAAAGAACCTAGAGGATCAGGTCTGAAGAGTAAGTGCTTATCCTCAACTTTGTCAAGTCTGAGGAGCTCATTAAATAGGCCTCTGGAACTAAGAGGAGGAGATGAAAATTCTGAGTAATCAACCATGAGAGTAATGGGACTGCCCAAAGAGCATATATAATGTGAAGAGACAGAGTTTGAGATATCCCATTATTTAAAGTTTGGCTATAGGAATATGAACTAGCACTGGAACTTTAAAGAGAGATCGGCTAAAGAGATAGGAGGAGAAAGTGTGATGAAAGCAATAGACAGCTATATTATGAGGAAGATATACTGAGATGAAAACCAACAAGATCCAGTAGATTTTGTGATGATGCTGACCATGAAACACTATTTTTCAGCAGAATAGTGGGAACAGAAAAGAAAAACTGAAATACTTATTAAGAAGCAAAGAAGACAGGAAACATAGCTAAATTTCTAAAAAGTTCTGAAAACACAAGAATATATTTAAATTCATGGGGAGAATTCAACAAAGAGAAAGAATGGAATACAAGAATAAGATAGGATTATTTATTTTAATAAGAGTTGAGATGTGATAGGTAGGAAGTACCAAAGGCCACAAGACCTTGCCTAGCTGGGCATGGTGGCACACACCTGTTTAACCCCAGCACTCAGAATAAGGCAAGAGGATCACTGTGAGTTTGAGGCCATCCTGGACTATATAGTGTGTTCAAGGCCAGCATGAACTAGAACAAGATCCTTCCTGTCTTCAAAAAAAAATAAAACCAAAAAACCCTGACCCCATTTTATGCCATATAAATATATAAACCATTTTTCAAGCCCAGTCTGAATTACACAGCAAGACCTCATGTCAAAAAGAAAAGGAAGATAAATCCAATATTAGTTAAGATTTTTTTGCAAAAAATCACCTACCCTTGGTCCTCTTCCTTTAATTTTCCTGCCGGACCTAGTAACTAAGAGTCGTCTCTGGTATGAAGCAGGCTGGGAGTTAGGTGCATTACTACGAAAAAGCAAAGGGAAAGTTAAAACATATTACTATTATGAAAGTGAATCTGGAGATACAGCTGTACTGATCTTAATTTAAATTTCTAAATACAATCAGTGTATTTCTAAATACAAATAAATTTCTTAATTTAAAATGCTATCAGGTCCTAGGAAGAATGTGGAAAAGCATGGGAACTTTTTTCTTTTTTTAAGTCAATAACTACAAAATGTTACTTGTAGTCAGTTCTCATGAGTCAGAAACGTTAGAATCTTAGAAGGTGTCAAAATGGACTATATTCTGCTCCAAAATGCCAGTCAGGCCCTGCTAAAAAATACTGGTAAGTACTCATTATTAAGACAAAACTAAGGCTGGGCGTGGTGGAGCACACCTATAATCCCAGCACTCGGCAGGCTGAGGTAGGAGGATTGCAGTTGAGTTCAAGGGCAGCCTACGGTACATAAGCAAATTCAAGGCCAGCCTGCACTACACAGCAACCCCATCTCAAAAAAAAAGCTATTTGGTAGTCCTAAGGAAAATTAACATGAAGAGCTCAGAAGGAGCCAAGAGTATATTTTAGAACTGTCTTATTCAAAGAACCTTATCATCTCTATAAGCAATTGTTCATAAGTAAGAGAAGTAAAGATACGTAAATATTGTGAGTGAAGCAGAGAATAGCTGGTCTGAATTAGCCGAATTTTTATACCACGGTTTATATAAAAAACTGAAACTGTGATCAAATAACAAAAATTGGTATTTAGCCATAACAACATTCATGTAAAAGACATTTGAAAAGTTCACTACCGTATAGTTCACTGAAGAGTAGTTTAAATATTTCCTTTTAATCTTTCTTAGAAACCTTTTCCATACTAGTAGGAAAATAAACTCAATCCAATCCAACAAAATTACTCCAAGGTTCAAATAATTTTTTCCAAAAAAAAAATTTTCCCAAATAATTATTTTTTTATATTTTTGTTGTATTATGAAAGTAAGAGGGTCACTAAGAATTTTATTATTTGTATGTTATGATAATATATAACTAAGATCATAACTAAGAACTACTTTAGTTTTTAAATTTGAACATAATCATTAAAATGACTCACGAAATCAACGAAACTACTGACATACATAAGGTGGATTTATGCAGAAAAACATTCAAAGTATTTAACATGCTATCTATTTTCATTACTACAATACTGTAAATCAAGTAAGGAAAATAGGACTTTTTCCTATTATACAAATTTTTTATAAAGGTTCTCACTTGCTTCTATGAAGAAAAAGATGATTTCGATCTTGGGATCAGGACACTGATTAAATTCTGTCTGAAATAAGTACAAAAGTTTTGAAAGAGAACATGCTATGCTAAGTGTACAGGACACTACAAAATACATTTACATACCACTCTCTCTCTCGTTCTCTCTCTCTGTTTTTCCGTTCCTTGTCATCAGCTTTAGGCGGACTTTTTCTCATGAGGAATCTATTTTCTGGTATAGGAGGGATCTCTTCTGGACGGACAGTAGACTGGGGTTGTGCTTCAAGATTTTCAGCCTCACTTTCACTAGATGCACTTAATACACATAAAGTACATTATATTTGGTTATTATGCACTCATCCTATACTTTGAATTTCGGTTCTTTTCTTCCTTTGTATTACAATACATATACACAACATCCATCCTTCCCAAAGGTATCATCATGTGGGAATAATCTTCCTCCATTCCTCTGACAAACCAAATAACCAATCAAAAACCTAGACAAAATATGTTACCACACTGACAAATATTTTTTCCATAAAATGGATCTAAAAATGATACTCCTCCAAATTTAAAATACAGGTAAAAAGTGGACATGGTGGCACACGCCTGTAATTCCAGCACTTGGAGGCTGAGGCAGGACTGCTGCGAGTTTGAGGCCATTAAAAAAATTAGTTACTTTTGAGGCAAGAGGCAGTTAAAAATTTTAGCACAAACAGAATATTCCAAGCAAAATGGAAAAGAAAGTAAATGTACAGTCATTATTTACTTTTTACCCTTGTGCTATTCTAAGAACAAACAAAATAAAAGACAAAAAAGCAAGAGATAATGTTAGAGAAAATAAGGAACATAATTATAGGTTTCCTGAGTTCTTACTAATCCTATACTCTTCCCAGAAATATATAAACCTAACCTGGCACACTGGTGCATGCCTGTAATCCCAGCTACCTAGGAAGGTAAGGCAGGAAGGATCACAACCTCCAGGCTTATCTGTGTGACTGAGGCCCTATCTAAAAATAAAACAAAACCCAAAGAAACCCAAAAGCTATCATTTTACTGAGTGAATACAAAATGAATGGTGAGGTTTTGTTAAAAATGGAAATTAATGTACCTAAATTTAATTTATTGACTATACAATAAAAAATCGGTCTTCAATTTTATTAAAATATTTCTACTTTAGTGCTCCCACATAATTGATTCAAAATTTTAATAAATTTTGTATAAACAAAGAATCAGAATACAAAGCTAGTAGCATAAAAATAAAGACCTTTTCTTGCTTTTCTTTCTCTTCTTCTTTTCTTTCTTGTGTTTTCGGGAATTTTTTCTATGTTTCTTTTTTCTTTTTTTTGATTTCTCTTCAGAAGCACTTTCAGAATCAGAAGAGTCCGAAGAAGACTGAGAATCACTTGAGCTATCTGAATCACTGGATGATGAGGAGGAAGAGGATGATGATTTATGCCTTTTCTTTTCTTCTTTTTTAACTTTAATAAAAGTGAAGATTTGGGTCAGCAATTTTTAGACAAACTTTGTAAGCAGAAATTTAAATATTCTACAGATTTTCACAAGTCCAGTATTTAATACTTATCTACCTGTTTGAACTGAGAGTATATAAAAGGAGCCAAGACTCAGGGTTACAATCCAGATCTTCAGATTTGTGAGTCAAAACTGTATCTATTGAGTCAAACAACATCTGAGTAAAAATGTTTCAAAGCAGAGTAACATTTAAGCCTCCCAGGTTCTAATTTTCCTACAGTTTCCTCACATTTTCTTAGTATCAATATTGGAAGCAGAACTAGTATGGGGATAACAGAAAAATACTATTCCCAAACATGGAAAGATAAAAACATTCTTTCATTAGCATGGGCTCATGAGCCTAAATATTCCTCTAAAGACTAAGAAATACAGCTACAGGTGAAGTACAGATTCATAACAGAAAGAAATCATTGCTCATGATGAATAAATGTTTCAGAATCTCACAAAAAGTTATTTCAAATTGAAATTTTATTTTGGGTTAAGGAAAGAATAATGTTTAAAAGGGCTCCAAAACTCAAATCCACCAAAGGCAGGCAATTAATATAAGTGAAGATAACAAAATGTATTACAGCAAAGATAGAGAGAGATGTAACAAATTGGGTGGAGTCTCACTCATTTAGAGAATTTTTTTTTTTTTTTTGCAGTACTGGGGATTGAACTCATGACCTTGCACTTGCCAGGCAGGCGCTTATGCCACTGAGCTATATCCCCAACCATGACTCATCTAAAGGTGGATTTGAAGAGGCGATAAGATAAGACAAAGATAAGACAACATTGTTATAAAATTGATCACAATAAAATGAAATATATCAAATATATTGAGATCAAAATATAAAGTATCTGTCCTGCCTTTCCTATGAGAACTATGCCAATCACTATCCAAATATGGTAGACAAAGGTAAGTTGTTTTTATCAGAAATATTCCTACAGTAAGTGAAGAAGGGATTACTGTTAGAACATCATCATTTTGCAGCTCTTAAGTTTTTGTGGTTGTTTTTTTCTGGTACCAGGAATCAAACTCACGACCTTGCATTTGCCAGGCAGGCGCTGTGCCGCTGAGCTAAATCCCCAGCCCCCTGCAGCTCTTAATGAGGCACTGAACACCAATGGCTGCTGTGGAGCAGAGATAACCTGCTCTTCATAACTCCTAATCTCATCAAGAGGAATAACAAGGGGAAAAAAACTGCACCTGATCAGTTTTCTAGATCTAGCTAAGTTACCTGAAGTAGAAGCACAGAGAGAACACATTATATTGCAGAAGAAGGGGTTAATTAGTAAAATCTAAGATATGCAATGGTGGTACATTATTGGTTTGTAAGGTATGTCAATATCCAGTTTGTCTTGGATGATATTACTGTTACTGACCTATTTGATGTTGCCTGGGTCACATGATATTATGGGAAATGTCATGACAAAATGAGCTACTTTCATTAACTACAATTTTAAGGAAACAAAAGCAGGTAGTAGGGGAACCTACTAAAAAACAGTTGGGAGCCTGGCCTGGTGGTGCATGCCTGTGATCCCAGCACTCGGGAGGCTGAGGCAGGAGGATCACTGTGAGTTCAAGGTCAGCTTGCACTACATAGCGAGACTCTGTCTCGAAAATAAATAAATAAATAAAATAAAATAAAAAAAAAAAAAGAAAAAGGTTGGGGATGGCTGCACATAACTGTGAAGCAGAAGGATCACAAGTCTGAGGCTACCCTAGAAAACTTAGTGAGGCTATCTTAAAATTTTTTTAAATAGTTGGGAATGCTGCTTGGTGATAAAGAACTTACTTGTATAGCACATATGAGGTACTCGGGTCAATCAAATAAATACTTTCTTTCAAACAGGGTCTCACTATGACTCTTGAGTAACTGGGACTATGTGTCACCATGCGCAGTTTATTAACCCAAAGTAACTCACAAGACCAATCTCAATGTTTGAACTTTATCCAAATCCAGATTGAAACAACAAAAATGCAAACATTAATGAAACAATTAGAAATAAACAATTAGAAATCTGAACACAGGTTGATATTTAGGAGTACATGTATATGATTATGGTACTGGTTATTTAGAAATAAAAGAAATAATTATTGATAAAGTGTTATGTCTAGAGCTTGTTTTAAAATAGGAAAGGGGCCAGATGTGGTGACACACATTGGTAGTCTCAGAAACTCTAGGATGAGGGGGCGGTGGGAGGATCACCTGATACTCAAATTTGAGAGAAACCTGGGCAACACAGCAGCAACTCATCTCAAAAGGGCAGGGGTGTTAGTTAGATATGGGTAAAAGAAGATAGGCCATGAATAAATTGGTAAAGGTGGGTAATGACAGTGCATGTTTCCTAGCACTCAGGAGGCAGAGGAAGGAGGATCACCACGAGTTCAAGGCCAGCCTGGGCTATATAAGTGAGTTCAAGGCCAACCTGCACTATGTAGTGAGACCCTGTCTCAAAAAAAAAAAAAAAAAAAAAAAAAAAAGCATGTTCTATCATTTTATTCACTGTAGCACTATTTACAATAGCCAAGAAGTGGAAACATCCTAAAAGCCCATTGATTAAATAACTGAGAAAGACAATGTGGTACCTGTATACAATGGAGCACTATACACCCATAAAAATGAAATTCTGTCATATCCAACATATGGATGGAACTGCAGATCATTATGTTACATGAAATAAGCCAGACACAAAAAAACCAAGAATCACAAAACCTCATTCATGTGAAATGTAATCTCACTCATAGAAACTTGAGAGTAGAATGGCAGTTCCTAGAGGCAGGGAAGTAGAAGGGATGAGGTAATGTTGAACAGCACAAAACTAAGACTTCAGAAGTTCTGGTGTGATACTACTACACAGCACCAGGGTGACTCTATGTAACAAGTGTGTACTGTCTATTTCAAAGAGAAGAAAAGATTTTCAATTTTCTCACCATAAATGATGTACATTTGAGAGCAGATATGTTTAACCTGATATACATATTACACTATATTATTACATATTACACTGTATTAAAACATAACATGGCATTATTACATACAATTACTATGTTTTATTGGCAATGTCCACCAAAGATATAAATGTATGACTCTTGTAATCTGTTAACTGTTTCTAGAAAGTAATCTCACATGATCAACACTGCCAAGACTGGAGTAAACAGAGAGGCCTCTAGAATAAGGAGCACACTTCACAAATCCATAGGCTGGAGGCTAGGAGAGGAAAATCAAGACTTTTTGGATTCCTAATCTCAAAGAAACTCCTCATTCAAAAACCCAGAAGAAAGCTGGGCATGGTGGTACACACCTATAATAACAGCACTTGGGAGGCTGAGACAGGAGGATTGCCACAAGTTCAAGGTCAGCCTGGGCTACACAGTGACTTCAAGACCAGCCCGAACATGGCAAGACTCTGTCTCTAAATAAACAAATAAATAGCAGAGGAGGGGGCACTTTTTTGTTTTTAGACTCTTTCTTTCTTCCTTCTACTTCTTTCTTCTTGTTTCCTTATTTCCTTTAAACTTTTCCTATTTTTATTCTCCATATTATTTTTCTCCCTTTTTCCTTTTATCTTCTACTTCTTGGTTTTGGGGTGGGTTAACTTTACCTAATTCTATAAATATCCTTCTAGTCCATAATAAGATCATGTTTTACTTTTCTCTTCTTATCTCCCATTAACTCGTCAAATTTTTTTGCATTCTCCTATTCCCAACGACCTGTATCTTTAATAATATAGCCATTAAACTTTATTACTCTTTAGTTTGTTAACTCTATGTTACTACTGTTGAATCCTATCATTAGTGGAAGTATAGTAGTAGACATTTGCTATATGTCAGCATTTGGTTGGTATGAGTGTTTATACTGTAACTACAGATTTCTTTTGTAAGGGTAAGGATGGTACATTATTGGTTTGTAAGGTATGTCAATATCCAGTTTGTCTTGGATGGTATTACTGTTACTGACCTATTTGATGTTGCCTGGGTCACACAGTTGTTGATATTTTTTTCCTTTGGTACTGGGAATCGAACTAAGGACCTTGCGCTTTCCAGGCAGGCACTGTGCCACTGAGCTATATCCCTAGCCTAGCTGTTGCTATTAACAGGCTTTCTCTGTATGCCAATATCTGGACTACCTTTGTTACATTAATAATACTGCAGTCCATTCCCACAGAACTAGGTCCTGGGCCAATTCCACTGCATCTCCTCCTCCCATATTAACAGAGGTGATCAGATCTTTGGACAGAGGCAAAGGACTATAGTAAGCCGTGCCCTGAATGGGTCATAGAAAAGCAGACTAAAGAGCTCTTTACACAACCAGCAAATTTCCATTATAAATGACTGCATATCTCCAAGCACAAACCAAATCAATCAATCAAACAAATAAACAGCAACAGAAACATGAGTAGACAAAGCAACAAAATGCATCCCCCAATTTCCACTCTCTTAAAGCTGATTCATGGGGGATTAGGGAGGCAAACACAAAAGCCAAATTATTCAAAAGGGTAGCAGAGGAGACTAAAAAACAGAGATGAGGTGCTTGGAGGGCTCACAGAAATTACAACTAATAAGATAATGAAGGCAATAAAATAGGGAACTTACAAGAGAAGACACAATAAAAAGCTAGCTGAGCTAAAAAAAAAAAAAAACAAAAGCTGAGCTAAAAAAAAAAAAAATGACACAAAACACGAATGAACATTTCAGCAAAGAACCAAGAAAAGGTTCCAAACAGAAATTCAGGAGATTAAAAATTGAGCAACAGAAGTGACTGAGGTGAAGACCAAATATCAGAATTAGTCCAGGCATGGTGGCACAATTCTATAATTCCAGCACTAAGGAGGCTGAGGCAGGAGGGTCACTGAGAGTTTGAGGTCTGAGCTACTTAGTGAGTTCAAGGCCAGTCTGAACTATACAGTAAGACTCTGAGAAAAAAAAAAAAATCAGAAGATAGGAATGCTTTCAAAGACCAATTACTCAAATAAGACAACATGAAAAATAAATTCAATAGCTGCAAGGCGGTGTAGATAACTAATGCGAGATTCACTTGAGTAAGTGAAAAATAAAGACAGCACAAAGGGAGAAAAAATCCTGTTTCCAGAAATAATAACAAAAAACTTTCCAAACATTGGGAAAGAATGACACATTCATAAACGTGAGGCACATATAATCTCAAATAACCATGGTCAAAAGAGAACCTCTCTATATAGCACCACAGTCTAAATACCAGAAGTCTAACATAGGGACAAAATCTTAAAAGATGTTAAGAAGAACAATGAATCACCTACAAGTGTAAACCCTGTCTCAAAAAAAAAAAAAAAAAAAAAATCAAACTATAGCAGACTTCACAAAAGTCTTAAAGGTCAAGAGAGCTTGGAGTGAAATGTTTCAAGCTAAAAGTGATCAGAAGAAGCAAAGAAGGTCACTACATATTGGTAAGGGAACAATTCAATAGGAACAGATAATACAGCTCAGTGGTACAAGTGCCAGCCTGGCAAGAACAAGGTCCTGAGTTCAATTCTCAGTACTTTAAAAAAAAAAATTCACAGTAGAATCAAATCTTCAAACAAATTAACTTAATAGCTACCTAAAAAGTATATGAAAAACATGTTAACATCACTAATCCTGAAAAAATGCAAATTAAAACCACAATGAGGTAGCATCTCATTTCTGTCAGTGGCTATTAAAATAATGAAAAGTAAGTACTGGTGACGATGGAGAAAAGGGAACCCTTGCACACCGTCAGTGGAAATATAAACTAATACATTCTAGAAAACTGCATGGATGTTCCTCAAGAACTTAAAAATGAAACAACCGTATGATCCAGCAATCACACCATGAGATTTACATCCAAAGGAAGCAGTGCCAGTGCTGAAGGGACCTGCACTTCACTGTTCACAGCAGCACTGTTCACAGCACAGATGACACATAACCAACAAGTAGCCAACAGCAGATGACCAGATAAACAAATGTGACTCTCTCTCTCTCTTACACACACACACACACACACACACACACACACACACACACACAGGAATTTTATTCAGCCTGAACAAAGAAAAAAAAACGCTGTCATTTATGGTAACAGCGACAAACCTGAGAGCATTATGTTAGGTGCAGTAAGCCAGAAGGAGAAGGACAACCACAATATCATCTCATTTACATGTGGAATCTAAAAAAGTTACATTCAGAGAAGCACAGATTAGAATGCTGGTGGTTACCAGCAGCTTAGTGGAGAAAAGCTGAGGCGATACTGGTCAAATGAAACAAAATTTCACTCAGGCAAAAGAAATAATTTCAAAAGATCTACTACAAATGTGGAGGCCATAGTTATATGACAATGATTACAAGGTAGGTGGTATGGTATACATCTGCAACCCCACTATCCACAGGTTGAGGCAAGAGTATTATGAGTTTGAAGCTAGCCTAAGCAATCCCACGTAAAAACAAAACAAGAAAACCTACATTATATTCTTAAAAATCACTAAGAACAGATATGAAATCACCACAAAAATTAAGTATGTGAGGTAATACACAATGTACTCATATTTGAAAATATCACATTGCTCATAACATATCTATCTATCTATCTATCTATCTATCTATCTATCTATCTGAGACAGGGTCTCACTATGCAGTTCCAGTCTGCATAATGGCAACTCCTGCCTCAGCCTTCCGAGTGCCGGGATTACAGGTGTGCACCACGACGCCTGGCTCACAAATTTGTCAACTGAAAAAATAAATAAAAGCACAAAATATACTTAAGATATGAAACCTCATTTTTTTTTGAGGGGGGTCTTGCTATGTAGTTTAGGCTGGCCTTGAACTAGGTAGTCCAAACTGGCCTCAATCCTCACGCTCCCAAGTGCTAGGATTACAGGTGTGCACCACTGTGCCCTGCAGAAACCTTGCATCTGTATCAGCCTTAGTACAGATTCATACCAACTATTTATAGAGTGTGTCTACTTACTTTATATGAGTAAGAATTTCCTGAAATACGTACTTGTTCTTACCTTTAGATTTTGGGATCAGCTCTCCACAACTGAGTATCCGTACCTCAGCAAATGGTTTGCTAGCTGCGTCTGTTTTCTGGTTTTCTATCTCTCTCACCACTTCTTGACCAGAGATGACTTGTCCAAAAACAACATGATGCCTAAAGAGTAAAGCAATGATGATTAAATAAAGGCCTTCTACTTTGATATGAATTTAAAGTAGGTTATAAAATATTCAAATAAACTTTACCCATCTAAATGAGGAGTTGGCTTCGTTGTTCTTTTGGAAGTCATCAGACAGAAGAATAAAAACAAAGTCAGAGAAAAATAAAGTTAGCATCTCTAAAAAGGAAAAAAAAAATAACTGTATTGGAAACAAAGTTGAAAACAAACAGATTATACACTACCTTAACAACAGAATTGTATTGTCTTAACCTTAAGTAGAACAGAGCACAAAATTTTTCCATATGATGTATTTTTAGAAAGTTATTCTAAAGATAAAAGCAAAACTTAGTGCTGGAACCTTGAGTGTAAAGTTGGTATTTTGATGTTAGTATTATCCATTTACTGAATATTAATAGTTGCAAAATGTTCCACAATACGAACATAACAAAATGTATTAAGCCATTCTAATAGCTACTGGGTTTAGCATCAGTAGTTTTCATCTTAAACCTTTCAAACTCCAGAGAAGGAAACGGAAGGGTTGGGGGAAGTGAAGGTGGTCATGTTTTGATGATCCTCAGTTATACCCTGAATTGTGATCTATGTAGTACTTAAAATTTTTTAAATTTGCTGCCAACATTTAAAATTTGGAAAAAAAAAATTTGGATATTTTCACCAGACATGGTGGTCTATGTTTGTAATCCTAGCTATCTAGAAGGCTAAGACAGGAAGATCACAAGTTCAAGACCAGTAAGGACAACATAGAAAAACTCCATTTCAAACAAAACCAAGACTTTTTCACATGAAAGCCTAGGTTTCAGACCTCTGTGGAATATCTTTAATTTGGGTACCTGGAACATGACAACTGACCAGAGGCGAGTTCTGTACGTATGGGGCGGGGGGGTATTGTGTTACTGGAGACTGAACCCCAGGACACACAACTACTGAGCTACACCCACAGCCCTTTCTACCTTTCCTGAGATAGGATATCTCACTAAGTTGTCCAGGTAAGCTGTGAACTTGCCTCAGCCTCATGAGTAGATGGTATTACAGGCATGTCCACCTATTGTCTTAACACAGATTATTGTCCCAACAGGATTATTTATGCTGCTTACCTTGTCTAGGCTTTGAGTTGTTACCCTGACATAAAGTATATTCTGTGTTGAAGAAAGAACCCTAGATTAGAATTTGGGTCAAAATCTAAAACCAGAGTGCAGAGGCACATGCCTAGCATCCCAGTTACTGGGAAGGCTGAGATGGGGAGACATTTGAGCCCCAGAGTTCACTCAGCTAGCCTGCTAAACACAGCAAGAGCCCCTTCTCAAAACAAAACCCAAAATCAAAACAAAACCTAAAATAAACACTTTTAGCAAATGCATTTTTTGTAATCTTTCCCCCATCAATCTTAAAACTATACAGAAGAAGGCTGCTACTTGGTTATGTACTAGAAACATGTTAGTACAACAGATTAAAGACAGGTATGAGTAAGATTTATTAGTGCTTTCAAAAGAAAATCATATCAAAAAGGCATTACAGGTTGGGCATGGTAGTACATGCATGTAATTCCTGCACTTGGCAGGCTGAGGCACGAGGGTTACTGTGAGTTCAAGGCTAGCCTGAGATATATAGTAAGTTCAACGACTGCCTAAACTTCAGTGAAAACTTGCCTTAAAAAAAAACAAAAAAGGCATTAGAAATTTGGAAGGAACTGAAGTTCACCAATTGTTAAAGAACATGTAACAGTAATGAAGAAAATTATAGCACAGGTATATTTTTAAGTTTACCTAACTTTAACTCACTACTGTTTCCTCACCGTAACACTATACTCAAACTTTTCCTATAATCATTTAGACTGTAAAAACCTTGGTGTATAGTATGTAAGGGTACATGTCTGTAATCCCAGTATCTCAGAGGCTGAGGCATGAGGATCACAAGTTTGACCTGAAGTTGGGCAATTTAGTGAGAACCTGTTTCAAAAAAAGGGCTGGGATGTAGCTCAGTGAAAAGGCCCTGGGATCAATCCCCAGTACCCAAAACAAACAAACACTCTTGTACACTGTTGATGGAAATGTAAAAAGGTTCAACTGATGTAAAAATATTTGGCAGTTCCTCAAAAAGCTTACCATATGACCCAGCAACTCCACTCCTAAGAATATAACCTCAGAACTGAAAACGGACTCAAGCACTTCAGCATTATTCACAACTAGCTAATGGTGGAAACAGCACAGTGAATGGACAAACAAAAAGTGAAGTGTTAGCCATAAAAAGGAATAAATTTCTGTTATACACTATAATATGTAAGAACCTTGGAAACCTGCTAAGTGAAACAAGCCAGACACAAAGACAAGTAATTGTATGATTTCACCAAATACATTGTCTGGAACAGGCAAATTCATAGAAAGTAGATTTAAGGCTAACCAGGGGTATGGGGAAAAGATAATAATAATAGAGTCTATGGAATAATGGAACAGCTCTGGAAATACAATGTCTTTTTTAGTTTTCTGAGACAAGGTCTCACTACGAAGCCCAGGCCAGCCTCAAACTTGTAGCAATCCTGCTGCTTCAGTTTCCCTTGTGTCTGGACTACAGGTACACACCACCACACCTGGTAGTAATTTTTGTTACATTGAAACACCTGCAATATTTTTCTTGTACAGAAAGAAGCTCTGCAGAAAAAGATTTTTACCTCATCTGCACTTTCCAATTTTTCTAAAACAAAGAGAAATGAGAGTTGCTTTCATTATAGAAGAGTTGTTTTCATTTGAAAATATCAGTTAAGACCCATATACGACAATTAAGTGAATACAAGAGCAATTACAGGTCCCTTGATCACAGTTTTTTTGAAATCACAATTAGAAAAGTTTATCAGTACTGAATTTGGGATTACAAGTAAATTTTGGAGCTGGGCGTGGTGGTGCATGCCTGTAATCCCAGCACTCGGGAGGCTGAGACAGGAGGATCGTTGCGAGTTTGAGGCCAAACTGGGCTACAAAGTGAGCTCAAGATCAGCCTGAACTGCATAGTGAGACCCTGGTCTCAAAAAGACCAAAAAAAAAAACAAAACAAGTAAATTTTGGTGCACAGGTGAATTTACAAATACAGAATCTGTAAATAACAAGGACTGACTGGTTTTTACTTTGCTTTCCCTTCTGCTTTGTTATTTATTCATTTATTTAATGAGTAATCCCTTAATGATGGGATATGTTTCAAGACTCCAAGTGGAGGCCTCAAACTACAGACAGTCCTGAATCCTATGTATACAATATTATACTTTTTCCTATATGTACACACCTAAGATAAATTTTAATTTATAAATTAGACACATAGATTAACAAAAATACTAAACTAGAAAAATTACTGTAATATACTGTAGATATTGAGATAATGAGATACTGAGACAATGAGATACTGAGATAATGACCTTTCAAAGTATTTTACTGTACTCACCTTTCTTGAGATAACGTAAGCTAATACGATGCCTACATGCTCAGATAAAAAAAAAAGTAAATGATGTAGAGGCATTGTCATGTAGCCTGAGAATAGTAGAAAGGGCTACCTGAACACACAAATATGGGATAACTTGACAGTGGATCGAATAGCAAAGAAAGCTACAAAAGTAACTAACAGGTAGGTAGTCTATACAGTATTGACAGAATGGACAAAGGGATGATCCACATTCTATGTAGAATAGAACATTTCATGACGCCATCAGAATTTAAAACTTATGAAATGTTTACTTCTAGAATTTCCCATTTAATATTTACAAACTGTAACTGACAATGGGAAACAAACTATGAAAAGCAAAACTATATATAAGGTAGGACTACTATCTATCAGTAGGGATTCCAAGCTTCCTATTTTGTTGCTTATAACCTAGTATTTATTTTGGTGTACAAACTGTCCTAATTTGGCCAGTAGTTACGTCTTTAAGCTAGCTCTCATGTTCTTGTAACAAAGCTTCATCATTTGAAAACTTGAGCAGCATAGCTCACCACCCTTCTTCAATAATTCTTTGTTCCTCCTCATTAAACACTTCCCCCAAATAAGGGATCCTCTCTTATTTATTAGTGATCAATGGAGGGCACATAGATAACAATTTTGAGGTACTTAATCATCAGATCATAAATACTTACATGAAGAACTGTGATCCATTTGTATCTTTCCCTCTGTTGGCCATTGACAAAAGAAATTCTTTGTTGTGTTTAACAGCAAAACTCTCATCTAAAGAAAAGCAATGTTTTCAGTTAAATTTTGAGTATAATGTCCACAAATTGATTTTCAAACCATTTTTTAACAGCTGTATTCTTTAGCAACAAATGTAAGTTAGACAGCATAGGTTATGAAGAACCAAATGAGTCAATTTTCTCTTATTTCTTTGTATTATTTAAAACTGTCTATCCCTTGTTTGCCTACCATGTTCAAGGCCTTGGGTTAGACCCCAGAACCACACACACACATACACAGAGAGTAAGACAGAATCCTATAGGATTCTTTTATATTTCAGCTGCTCCACTCATGAATGGGGAGAAGCATACATAATACTATTTAAACTGGACTCACTGGGGGCTGGGGATTTAGCTCAGCGGCAAAAAGCGCCTGCCTGGCAAGCGCAAGGTTGTGAGTTCGGTTCCCAGTACCGGAGATAAACTGGACTCACTGACTTAAACGCTCTATAGCATCACTCATTAAAAAGATAAAGAGACTTGTCTTCCAAACTAGGATTAGAATATGAGAACAAGGCATGTGGAATTTGAAACAAAATTTCACTGAATACCAAATGTGAAAGATGGAGCCATTAGTCACATATTCACATGCCAAGAGAATTCCAAATGATCTTCACATTACTAAAAAATTTCAGACAGGAAACTTAAATTTTAAAAAATTGGCCAAATTTTAGAATATCAAAAAGATTTTGTAAGATTTTTCATAGAAAACAAGTACAATGGGGCACACCTGTAATTTCAGCACGGGGAAGCCTAACACAGGAGGATTTCTGTGTATTGAAGGCCAGCCTAGGCTACAAAGTGAGTTCAAGGCCAGCCTCAACTGCATAGTGAGAGCCCATCTCATTAAAACAACAAAACCCAAAGCAAAAACTGAAAAAGCCCCACAAGAAACAATAAACAAGAACAGTGTAAAAATTTGGGTATCTTTCTAAGAAATACCCAGGAATCTCCTTTAATAAAAGTTAAGATACCACTATGGAAGTTCCTACTCTAGCACTAAAATTCTAAGAGTTTAGAACACATTAATGAAACTCTTCTTCAAACAGTAAGATGTACTAATGGCCTAAAACCAAAATAAATCTCATGAATATAAAAAGTGTATAACATAACATTTAAGAAAATGAACCTTCGTATTAGAAGGTAATAGGATATTAGCATGCTATTTAATGAATAATCCTGATTTAATAAAGAATAATGAACAAAATATTAAAATCATAAACATTTTTACCTTCAAAAAATCCTCCATAAATAGATTCTCCTCCTCGTCCATTTCCTAAGAATGAAAAACACAAGACTTAGAACTCACAAGATACTAATTCCTTGAAGGTGCTACCAAAACAAAATATTCCCCACAAAGTACTTCAAATGGTTCTGTCCAGGTGTGGTGGCACACACCTGTAATCCCTGCACTCCAGCGGCTGAAGCAGTAGGATCACTGTGAGTTTGAGGCCAGCCTGGGTTACAAAGTAAGCTCAAGGCCAGCCTGAATTGCATAGTGAAACTCTGTCTCAAAAAGACAAAAAAAATTCTAAACCAGCAATTCATAAAGGTTACAGTCAATCTCATAATTTGCGGGTTGCAGCACTACCCCAATGTGATTCCAGCTCTGGGGAGGCTGAGGTTTAAGGATCACAAGGGAGGCCAGCCCCAGGGAATGAGCGAGCCCCTGGGGTGCAGTTTGGCAGCGAGCATCTGCCTAGCACATGTGCGGACCTTGATTCAGTTCCCAGCACTGCTGCCCTCCCAAGATACTGATCTAATGTCAATAATGACAAGATCTCAAACTCTTTCTTTCTTTTTTTTGTTTGAGACAGGGTTTTGCTATTTATTCCAGGCTAGCTTTGAACTCATTATGTAGTCTAGGCTGGCCTCAAACTCATGCTGGGATTATGGGCATGTGCCATCATGCCTGGCTCAAATTACTTTCTTTCCCCTATACTATGGCAATAATATGACAAGGCTTATTAAGTATTCATCAAAAATAAGCATGAAGTTTTCAAATTGTAATGATGACTATGTCACAGGTATTTTGACAGGAATTAATGTCATTTTTTTCAAAGTGTCTTTAATAAGTACAATATTTATACAAAAAAAGCATAGGTAAATCTGGTAAAAGATTAGGTAAATCTGCAGTAAAGATTACTAGTTGTGACAAAAATCAAACATACACTGACCAATTTAGAGATAATGACCAATTTAGAGATATTTTGTATCCAAAAGAACATTTCTAAAATGAAAAGTGCTTCATATAACGAAGGTTTTTTTTTTTGTTTTGTTTTTTGTCTTTTTGAGACAGGGTCTCTCTGCAGTTCAGGCTGGTCTTGAGCTTACTTTGTAACCAAGGCTGGTCTTGAACTCACAGTGATCCTCCTGCCTCAGCCTCCTCAGTGTTGGGATTACAGGCATGTGCCACCACAGCCAGCAACCAAGTTTTAAAGTTGGGCTAGGAAGACTCTCAATGGGAAAACACTTGGGTAACATGGAAATGCTCAGGGTTCAATCCCCAGAACCACCCCCTCAAAAAGTGATTATTTTCTTTGTGCTTTCTTTATATACTTCCACATATATAGATCGATAATACACAGATAGATAGATAAGACAGATTTTTTTTTTCTTGCCAAAGTATATTTCTAAGTATTTGACCAAAGATTACATGGAATGAGAACAAAACCAGAGTAAGACTTTTCAAGACTTGTCTAACTTTACCATCTCTAATATTTAATAAAAATATATGATTTTCTTTTGTTGCATCAGTCTCACCTTCACTGAAGTCACCACCCTGAACCATAAAATCCTTAACAACTCTGTGAAAAAGACAACTCTTATAGTGTAATGGCTTCTGGGTTGATTTCCCTGTCCCCTTTTCTCCTGTAAAGAAGAAAAATTAGCACAGCACTCAATAGGTAAGAAATCAATAAAATGTATAAAAACAAAATTAATCATAAAAGTTGTAGCCCTGTAAAACAGATCTCCTCTATAGACTTCTTTAAATCAGAGAATTTTCATTCCTTTTCAGAATTTTTTTAAAAATTCATTTTAAAAAATCTTGAGATTTTTCTGGAGTACAGAAATCAAATTCAGAGGGAAGAAGGATGAAGGGAGGGTAGGAGAATGTGGAAAGTAAAGAATCAAGTTATATCATGCACAGGTACAAATTCTCTATGATGAATGTGATCATTATGTATATTTAAAACGTACCAATAAAATCTGGAAAAAAATCTATTTCAGCTAAAATCCCATTACAATCAATATTGCTACGAATTGTTAGGCCAGTTGAAAATTTAAACAAACCTGTACAAAGACAACGAAAGTTCTCGCATGTTTTGGGGCACACATCAGAAAACAATTCAAAGACCACTCTTCCAGCTGTAAAAGAAAATAGTTGGTTTAAGCTTCTTTACTAATTTAAAGTACTAAGTTTTAATTTATAAATGTTATCTGCAATAGGAACATTAATAGTCTTACCAGGTTGATTGTTAATGGCAATATCAAAAAAACATCGAGGACGCTGAACCTTTATTCCCATGGTTCCAATACTTCAATCTGTGAGTGAAATACAGTTTCAGGCAAGCAGACTAAACCAGCATAGATTTTTCATGCATACCTGAAAAAACAGTTCTACAGAGCATCAACTAGAAATGTAGCTTAAATTTATTTTTCTATTTCCATGAGGTAAATCATATGATTACTGCCTGCTTTGCAGAAATCATATCACATTTTTGTGAGGAAAATAGAAAAGATTTGAAAGATGAGGCTTAAAAACCAGGCATGGAGGTGCATGCTTGTAACCCCAGGACTCAAGAGGCTAAAACAGGAGTATCATCACATATTTGAGGATAGTCTGACCTACACAGTGAGTTTAAGGTCAACTTGAACTACACAGGGAGACCCTGTCTCCAAAAGCAAACAAACAAACAAACAACAAAAAAAAAGAAAGATGAAGCTCTGCCAGTACCATATAATCAAATTTCATATTGGCCAAATAGAGACCACCAACTGAACCAAAATTATGTTAAGTCTATATGACTACTGAACTGAATAGGCAGATTACCTTTAAACTGAAAACAAAACAACAAACAAAAAACAAGGATAACTGAGCCAAGACAATCTTTTTGTCACTTAATAATAAGATTTATGATTAAAACATGACACTTTTAACACATAAAACATTCAAATTCCTAAACAATACGAGACACAAATTATCATCTACAAAGAAAGTAGGGCTTGTTTGTTTGTTTAGAGAAGGGTCTCACTGTATATAGTTCAAGTTGGCCCAGAACTCACTGTGTAGCTCAGGCTAGCCTCAAACTCGTGGCAATCTTCCTGCCTTAGCCTCCTGAGTGCTGGGATTACAGACATGCGCCACCATGCTCAATCTAAAGTAGGGTATTTTAATATCAGTTATAGACAGCAGATACAAATTCTGAGTAAAAACAACATTAAGTTTTACATATGAGGTGCCTTTCTGAGCATGAGCAACAGCCTTTATTGATGTGCTAGTACAGACACACCAATGAGTGACATACTGCATAACATTCTTTGTCTACATAGCAGATGCCTTATCATTTCACAGACATTTTTCTGATAATGCATTTATTCAACAGACTTAAAGTGTTGAATTGTAATACTTGGTGAAAGACAACAGAGTAAGACAAAGTGCAGACAAAGCAGTAAGTATAAATAGCATCCAAACTGACAGACTGTAAAAGTGACAATTTCACCCGCTCAAAAGAGACTAACTGAAATGGATATGCTTTTATGAAAATTATGAAACCTAAACTAAGCTGGTGGCTCAGCAAAAAGCACATGCTGTTTTAGGTCCAGTGAAACTCTGATTTGTATTCTTAATCCAGAATACATTCTCCCCTCATCACTTTTTTTTCAACTAGGAACTGAACACAAAGACTCACCCATAGCTAAGCATGTGCTCTACCAGAGTTACCCTTAATTTAAATTTTTTACTAAAAGAACTACAGTATAGATTCCCATGCAGTTATAGGAAATAATATAGAGAGATCCAGTGTACATTTATATAGATCCTCATTGGTATGCTTTGGTTAAGTGTTTCCCAAAAGTCCACAGGCTTGGCCCCAAGCTAGTGCTACCGAGAGACAGTAGAACCATTAGGGGGGAAGACCTAGTGGGAGAGGATTGTAAAACCGCTGGTTTCACAGGTATCGCCTCCTTTTTTCCTTTGCTTCCAGGCATGCATGGCCCAAAGCAGTCCCCACTCCCCAAACTTGGACTGGGACCTCCAAAAATGGGGGCCAAAATAAAGCCTTTTCCTTATACATTAATTACCGTGGGTATTTCATTATAATAAAGCTGACATAATCCTGGTGAGAATTATTTCCCAAAACTGTTATTGAAGCTGGCCTCAAACGCACAGCAATCCTGCTTTCGCCTCCCAAGTGCTGGGATTATAGGCATGCATCACCATGCCCAGCTAGTTCTACAGTTTTATTACTTGTGTAGGTTAACAGATCTATCACTATCCCTACACACTCCACAAACATGAGCCAGACCTCTTGATAAATGCAGTGCTCAATAAGTGCTGCCGGCTAAGAGATGTGCTCAGTGATAGAGCACTTGCCCAGCAGGCCTAGGGCCCAGATTAAGGTCCTCAGCACAGGGGACACCAAGAATGGGACAAAAGCAAGAGAGAAAGGGAGTGACAATCATCTCTTTGCTCAAATTACCAATAATTCAAAAAAAATACAAATTACATGTACTCATCCATTTGTTTAATGCTGATTACATTCATTATGGATTAAATTAATATACAAGATTATGTTGTATTCAAATTCAGCCCAAGTGTTGTGGCATTCACTTTTGGCATTATTCCATGAAAAAAATAACATTTTCTCATAACTTCCTCCATTTAAAATTTCTAACAAATATAATTAAGAATGAAATTTTGTTTTGCATAAAACAAAGCTAGAAAGGATACCTTTCAATCCTCCAGCATATTATAGACACAGATTTACTTAAGAAAAAGCTAGCAGGGCTGGGGATTTAGTTCAGTGGCAAAGCGCCTGCCTGGCAAGCACAAGGTTATAAGTTCAATTCCTAGTACCGGAAAAAAAAAAACAACAAAAAAGAAAAAGCTAGTGGAAGGGAAGAATTAAGATGTGTTATGTATACATAACAACTCCCCACCACAAACGTAATCATTATGTACTGCATACATGTACTAAATAAAAAATTTTTAGAAGAAAAAATAGCCACATGGGGCTGGGGATGTGGCTCAGTAGTAGAGTTCTTGCCTTATATATGCAAGGCCTTGGGTTCAATCCCCAGCACCAGGGCACAACATCAGTGTTCTGCCAACTTGGTTACGCTGTTTTTGTGTGCCTATTATTTTAGTTGCTACGCACATGGATGAGGCTATTCCGAATCCACAAATGTGATTCAGACAAACTGTGTTTCAGAAAAACTATCCTATTTTAAAGAAAAACATGAAATCAATACTTGGTATATCATCATCTTTTATCATCTAAGTAACTGTTACAAGTCTTCTTAGAATTTCTACTTTGAAGAGAAAGAGAAATTTAACTATTTACATGTTTTCCTCCACACAAACTTCTACAGTTACTTAATCACAACGTCCCAAGTAGAGATTTCTATTTCTACAATATGCGTTTAGGTACAGCACTACCAAAAACACAAAGTATTTACTATCACAATGCATTTTTTATATATCGAATTTGTGAAAAAAAAAAAAAAAAAAAAAAAAAAAAAACAACCCTCAAATTTGAAAACCTGGCAAACGTTATTAAAAGCTGACAAAATAATTTCTAAATACCCATATACTTTTAAACAAAATCTTAGGGCCACCACGAAATGGTCTGTTCTATTTCTTTTAGGCGAGTGCTGCTGACAAGATGTATTTAATTGGAAAAATTTGAGCTACACTTAAGAATTAATGTACTTTTCAGTATATTGTTTTTCAATAAAAGGTGTGCTTTGTTAAAAATATTAAAAATAAAACTTTTTATCCTCCTACCCTCATTCCCTCAAGTACTCAGTAAGTATTATCCCTGTCCAAACCACCAAGGCTGAAAACTTGGAACTACACTATCTTTGTTTCTACTCGCCCTCACACCCCATTATTCAAACCCGTATCAAGTAGATGGCTCCATTATTCAGACCACTAGGAAGTAGACAGCTCCAGTTCCAAAGTTTTCTCAAATACTCTTCATTACCATTAGTATCTAGACCATTCCAAGAGCCTCCCAAATGGCTTTTCTGGTTTTATTTTATTGTGTCCAGTTTCCATAGAACAACCAGAATTAAATAAATCATTAAAATATGAAATTTATTTCATTACTCTGCCTAAAAATGCCCTTACTAGAAGGGTGTGGTGGTGCACCCTTGTAATTCCAGCACTTGGGAGGCTGAAGCAGGAGGCTCGCCATAAGTTCAAGGCCAGCCAGGGCTACATAAATGAGTTTAAGGCCAGCCTGCACTACGTAGTAGACCCTGTCTCAAATAAAAAATAAAATAAAAAAAAAAAATGTCCTTACCATCATTTAACTAAAATGTGGTACCATAGATCTTAAGGGTCTGAACCAGTATTGTCCAACAGAAATATTTTACCTTCTTCCTATCTGTACAGTTTCACCTACCGTTTCTCCAGCTATACTGTAGTTCTTGCTATTCTTCAGCCTCCCTCCCCTACTCCCTGCTAATGTCCTCTGCATTTGTTGTTCCCTGTATGTGGAATGTTTGTTGACAACAGATCTTCACACTATCATCCCTCATTTAACTCACTACTGAAATTATTACCTCTTGTTCAGAGGCCCTCTCTATCTAAGGGTAAACCTCATTCTGTAACACTTAATATCTTCTTGTTCTGCTTTATGTTTCTTCCCAGTATCCACTGCTCATTAGTATTTTATTATAAATTCAAGTTTTTGTATCTATCTCTTCCCACTAGAATACATGCTTCAAGGTCTGACAGAGCTTTCAAGCCTTGCTCCCTTAATTCCTAATGCTAGAGACCATGCTTAGCATATGGCAGATAATCAGTATTTACCAAAAGAATGAATAATTTATGAGGACAGTGACACAACACTGTCTCAGGAGTGGTGGTGCATGCCTTGTAATCCAAGCATTCCAGAGGCTGAGGCAGGAGGCCTGCTCCACGTCTGAGGCCAGCCTGGGCTACACACAGAGTTCAAGACCAGCCTGAGCTACATAGCATGGCTGACTAAAAACTAACAAAAAACACCAAAAAGAGTGAAACACAGAAATAATAAAATATGGAAATTCCCAAAATATCTCTTAATGGGAGAACAGTTAAATAAAATATGATATAAACACATTATTTACACTATGGAGGTGTGTAAAGAGTCATAGATACACAGTTCAGGGCTGGGGATATGAAACAGCAAAGTTTGAGGTACACTTGAGGTCCTGGATTTTATTCCCAGAGCCACAAAAAGTCTCTCTTACACCATCTTATTATTTAATTGAAAACAATTGCTTGGTTGAAAACCTACTGTTTAGCTGACCACCACCTCCCCCCCCGCCCCAGAATG